TAAACGTTATTATTATTGTGCTCGATAGGCCTAATCCACTTTCTTGCCGTTACAAATGTTCTATTTTTATATCCATATGACATGATATGCTTTATAAGTATGTATTTTCACCGTCTGCTTTTTTTGACGTAGAAGGTTGATCAATTGACTCATCAATATATTCTTCATCAAACTGTTCATCTGGTTCTTGTTCAATGTATATATCTTCTATATTTTCGTTGGTCATTAATTCTTCTAATCGAGAACATTGATTTACTGGTGATACTTACTGCACTATGCGAGTCTCAGAATAACATCTACTTTTTAAAGCAAGGAAAGGGAAAATACTCTCTATTCACCCTCTGCATCAATATTGGATATGGCTGTGAAAGAAAACATTTTGTTTTTACATGCATTTAGTGGGTGCGACACCACTTGACCACAGACAAGTTTGAAAACTGCCATTTAGTGTTTTAGAGACCCAAATGCAAATCCAGAAAGCATAGCCAACGTTGGAATTCAATTTCATCTTGCTTTATGGGTCAAAGAGCGACGACACATCACTACACATCTATAGACATCGATTTTTTGCGCAATCTATAACAAAGAGTTTATTTAATCTTGCATCCCTATTCCTCCAACCGAAGATGCGGCTCGCATGCACTCATTTCGTACATACCTAAAAGTCCAAAAATGGTACGGTGACGAAAAAATACCCACTGACGGGTTGGAAGCAGTTGTCCAATGGACTTATACCGATTCCTATGCTGCAAGACGCCGCTCCCCAAGAGTTATTGAAGATGATTTCTTGTAAATGCATAAAAGGTTGCAACGCAGCCTGCAGCTGCAGAGAAGCAAGATTACACTGTTCGGTAGTGTGCGGTTCCTGCCAGGGAAAAGCGTGTTCAAATTCTGAAATAACTCTAGAAGATCCAGGGGGCGACGAAGAAATCGATTCTCGATTAGAAGAATTAATGACCAACGAAAATATCGAAGACACAGACATTGAACAAGAACCAGATGAACAGTTTGATGAAGAATATATTGATGAGTCAATTGATCAACCGTCTACGTCAAAAAAGCAGACGATGAAAATACATACATATAAACCATATTATGTCATATGGATATAAAAATAGAACATTTGCAACGGCAAGAAAGTGGATTAGGCCTATAGGGGAAATCACTTAAAAAAAGTGCGCCGAGTGCTCTACCGCCAGGTGGTTTGGAAACGAGCACAAGAAAAACACAAATTTGTACTGGCAAGTTATTCAAATTTACATAGAATCAGTTTCTCATATTAAATGAACCACTAGAAAATATATGTTTTGTATTTAAGCGCCCGTATCTCATTAACCTGTTCATGCACGAAATCGGTGAATAGAACCTTTTTGTAGAGAATTAAATAGCTTTCTTTTTGGTCTCTTGTAAATTTTCTGTACAGGGTGGGTCAAATTCGACGCTTTTAAATGGAAACACCCTTTTCTATAGGAGATAGACGAAAATTAATATCGGTGTCTGGAGCTCAATTTTCATCAAAAACATGATGGTGAAAACCGCACATCAATATCTGTTACCGTTTCGGAATTACGGGGTGTTTTTCAAAAATGTGCATTTTTAACAAATCTCTGTAACTTTTTTGCTATAGAAAATTTTGTATTTCTATGAACACATTTCCAAAGCACCTTTTTACGTAGAATTTAATGGTTTAAGTATAATTTTTTTAAAATTAATAATTTAAGAGTTTGGTTTGGTTTGAAAAAATTTTGAAAAAGTTTGGTTTGGTTTGAAGAAAAATTGATTTTTTATTTGGGACATCCTATATATTTTTAATTAACTGAAAAGAAATTAAAATTACCTTTCCAAAAATATAGCACACTTGATATTTTGTTATAATCCCCTTCGAAATACCGGAATTTTTAAAAGTTCACCACTTTAGTTGGCTTTGGACCCCTTATTGATGATATGCCCTTAATGGAACTCGAAAACATATTTTTCCAGCAAGACGACGCACCGCTTAAAGTTATCAGCAAATTTTTGCAGCCAATTTCAAGAATAATTGAATAGCTAACCAAGATCCCAGCCGTTCGCCGTCGAGGCCGCCTGACTTTGTGCCCATGGATCTTATCCTATGGATATATTTGCGGAAGAATAAAGGTTACTTATTCTTCCGTATAATCTAGACAAGAATTAGAAATACTTAGCAGTCATGAGAGAGTATCTTTCACCCCCACTGAGTTAATGAATTTCTAGAGAAAGGTTCAAAAACTGCCCCGTCTGTCCATAACAGAAGACGGTCGATATGTCGAACACCTGTAGCAAAATCTCATGTCTTGGTTTGCTATTTATTTTTATTGTTATTAGATATAGTTTAAATGTGTTGATGTTGGTTAAATATATTTTAAATTATTATAAAATTCTCCATCTCTCATAGCAAATATTATTTTCGTTTTAATTGATGCTCACAGCTAGATTTTTTTTGCATTACAGCCGGTGCCGTTCAAAACCTACTTATTTAAAGCGGGCGAATTTTTATATACCTACTCTATATCTCAAAGAGGAATCGAGCAAAATATCAAGTGTGTTATATTTTTGGAAAGGTAATTTTAAATTATATTCAATAAATTAAAAATATATAGGGCGTCCCATATAAAAAATTAAATTTTCTGTTGATAATTCTTAAATTATTAATTTTTAAAAAAATATACTTAAACCACTACATTCTACGTAAAAAGGTGCTGTAGAAATGTTTTCATAAAAATACAAAATTTTCCATAGCAAAAAAGTTACAGCGATTTGTTAAAAATGCATATTTTTGAAAAACACCCCGTAACTCCGAAACGGTAACAGATATCGATATGCGGTTTTCGCCATCATGTTTTTGACAAAAATTGAGCCCCAGACACCGATATTAGTTTTTGTCTATCTCCTATAGAAAAGGGTGTTTTCATTTAATAGCGTCGAATTTGACCCACCCTGTACAGTGCACCCATACCGGGTTATTTAAAAAAAAGCATAAAAATGTCATAATTTGACAGGATTTTCCAATATGGCGGCTAAATCCGGGATCGATAGACCGTGCAAATTTAGTAGAATATTCAACAAAGCAAAACAACGAGAGTAAGTGTTATTGCAGCTTGCCCCTAATTATTTCCACCTAGGCCTATTTAATACGACGTACCGACTGGCCTTACGAAGGAATCGCAGAAAGAGATCTATAGATGCTTCACATGTAGCTACCAAACAAAATATACAGGGTGTCCCAGGGTGAGCGTGCATTAGAAGTTTCTAGAGAACCACAATATCTAGATTGGAGATTTTTTGCACATCATTATTTTACAACGAGATCTATCGATTAAAAATATTTTTAATATGGCGGCACTTCTGGAAATACCGGAAGTTGACAGCAAATTTCTTATTTATGGGTATCCCCAATTTTTATTACAAACTTAATTTCTCTGTAAAAATTTATGAATTTTGATATTAAACACTCTATATCCAACAATGACCGTTTTTGAGAAAAAACATATTTAAAATTTTTGGACGAAAAAAACTACCTGTCAAAAAAAATTGTATAGCCGAAAAGTCAAATTTAGTGATTACCAGAGCCACAATGACATAAAGAGAAGACATGTGGCTATCGATTTCAGCAATTAAATTGTTTAAATGTCTTATTATAATAATGGCGGTAGCTGTCATGGAATTGAGCAATTAAAAAATTACCATAAATCATATTTTTCAAATGGAAACCCACTATTTTTATTTCACTAATGAAAAGGTTTTTCAGTTCGTTACCTTTGTTCCTATACCTAAAATAAATCGTTTTTAAGTTATTTAAGATTTAATTTAAAAACGTATATTTTTCTCGGTTTTATCTAGCTTCCTTTGATATTAAGTGTCAGACAGAGATTTATTTCAATCTGTCAGAAAATGAATTATTTGAATTTCCTATATTATAAATACTGCATTCTTAAGAGTTTAAAAAGTGTGTATTTATAAAAATATATCTCGTATTTTTGCTCTTCAGTGATATTGTAGATATTGTTCCGTGATATCGTAGTATATCGTGATATCTCTAGATATTATTAATAATATTCCGTATGATCGAAAAAAAAACAGCGCAAATTTGGCTCGGAAAGGATGCTGCTTCTTGAACAAAGCGTCACAATATGATATGGCCAGATCTATTCTTTTGCGTTACTTGACGTTTAAAGTCATAGGCTACTAGTTAAAATCAAGAAAAATATACGCTTTAAAACTAAATCTTAAATAATTTAAAAATGACTTATTTTAGGTATAGGAACATGTATAGTTAAAAAGTAACGAATTGAAAAGCCCTTTTACTAGTGAAATAAAAAAAGTGGGTTTCCATTTGAAAAAAATGATTTATGATAATTTTTTAATCGCTCAATTCCATGACAGCTATCGCCATTATTATATGACATTTGTACAATTTAATTTTTGAAATCGATAGCCACATGTTTTCTCTTTATGGCACAGTGGCTGTGGTAATCACTAAATTTGACATTTAGGCTATACACATTTTTGACAGGCATGTTTATTTGTTCAAAAATTTTAAATATGTTTTTTCTCAAAAACGGTCAATGTTAGATATAGTGTTTAACATCAAAATTCATAAAATTTTACAGAGAATTTAAGTGTGTAATAAAAAATGGGAGCATCCATTTAAAATAAGAAAGTTGCTGTCAACTTCCGGTATTTCCGGAAGTGCCGCCATATTGAAAATATTTTTAATCGATAGATCTCGATGTGAAACTATTATGTGCAAAAAATCTCCGAGCTAGATGTTGTAGTTCTCTAGAAACTTCTAATGCACGCTCAGCCTGGGACACCCTGTATATCAATAATATTGCTTACACTCACTCTAAAAATACACCGAATATTTAAATATACGAAAAAAATTGACTTACCTGCTTTATCCCCTCTCCCTTCATATGAGAAATCCTGTTTTTTAGTTTTATTACAAGACTGTGTTTAATATTTAAAAATCATTTTATTAGAACGAAGGAATTGAAGGAACCGCAGAAAAAGGTCTATAGATGTGCCGTATGCGGCTGTCAAAAACAATATAGATCAGATTTTGACCGGCATATGAAAGTTCACATGGCACCGGGAGAACGACAGTTGTTTGCATGTCCACATTGTGACAAAAAATATAAGAAAAAAGACAGCTTAAAATACCACCTTAGGGATAATCATATTGATTCTAGGTAAATATTTTGTTAGCTTAAGTATTCTAGATCATATACCGCGCTGGCAACTCTTATTTTTGTGTCGATATTTACATGTGTGGAAGTGAATCGTTATTAAGGAATCTTATTAAGTCGGAGTGCGAAAAAGGCAGCGATGTGCTGTTGCCACATTTCTCAGAGATACGCCATTCATTGTCTAGTGGAGTGAAATCACGCTCGAAAGGCGCTTATTTTTAAAAGTTTTTTTCGGAAAGATATAACTATAGATAAAATCATTACATATGTTTCTGGGTATCTGAAATCGAGTTATAAGAAACCTTTACCGAAAGTACCGGGAATTCCCGGTTCTTTTTAGACATCAAAAAAAGGGGACTCGAAATTATTAATTCTCGGTTCTTTCGGTACTTTCGGGACTCGATAATAATAATTAAAAACATATTTTTTCTTACGTGCGAAAGACTTTTGATACTTTCTATAGTCTGTCCAACGAGAAGATCCTTGACAGTGATAGATGTGTCTGTCATTTTAATTTCAAAATAGTTTATTTTATTTTACAAAGAAATAAGTTGGTACAGCTGGAACGCATAGCAGGAAATTAATATATGTATTTAAAATTTGACTGACAAGCATTTATATGCTGACAAGTAACTTCAAAATATTGTGAAAAAAAAATGTATAAAACTGAAAAAATGTAATCGAATTATTTTATTTAATAAAAAACGGTATGTGTTAATACAAAACAAACAAAAACAAGACACCACATACCAAAAAATATAAAAAAGAACCATTTCTTACTTTCAAGCTTTATGAAACTTCCCGCATTTATGAGTATATTTATCAATATAACTTATGTACAAATACAAATTTGTAATATTCCTTCCATTTGTAGGAATAAATATAACAACATAAATAAAACAAACTATTTTATTAATAATAACACTTCCCAAATTTTATACCTCACAGGTTGATTAATTAACTTTAATCTTAATTTTTTTAAACTATTACATTTTGACAGTATTTTTCTGCAGTACTAAAATCCATTATTTACCTATCGTGTGATGTCGATATTTTACAGCTACTCCAGTTTTTAGTATGTGTTTAGTATGGTCTTTCTACCATATTCGAGATGCACTTATCTACGACGAGATGGTATACGAACTTTATTGATAGTAACTTTATTGGTGTATCTGTATAAGACTTTCTGCCTGGGCAGCGAGTATTAACCATAAACTGTGCTCTGGGTTCTACAGTTAATTTTCACTCGATTTTTCCTCCACTTGACTTCAAAAGACACAAAACACACGTAATAACACGAATCAAAATGCATCATCTTCCAAAACGCAGGGTATTTGACAAAAGTTGTCACAAAATTATAACCTATAATTTGGCAAGACTTTGACAAACGTCAAAAATCTAAAGGCGAGTTCATACGCATCGGCGTCCGTTTGTCGTTCATCGTTCCGTCAAACCAATAAAATTGAAATACGATCTGTCATTTTTGAAATAAACCAATAAAACTGGTTAAAAACAACAAGTGACGACGCATGACGAATTTATATTTAAACCCATCCATAGTTAACTTAAAAATTATTAGAAACTTTTTTTAGTAAAATAAATAGATTGGTATGGGACGTCATCTGCTTTTCTTCTGTCATCGTCTGTCGAAATCTTACCTGAGAAAAAAAACAGAGTTTAGCGGTCGAAATCAAACTCTTATAAATAACTAGTGATGCTATCTCTTACTGTTCTTACTTCTGAAGTTATTTTGAAGTGTTTATAATGTTTATTAACAATTATTGAACTTTAAATATTTTATTTTTATTTTTACTATAATATTGCTAAATGTATTAGTTATATTTTTTTGTGTTATGTTTTATACGCCATTTGCCATCTTTAGCTAATACTACCGTATGATCGAAAAAAAAACGGCGTCCAGTTGGCTGGGAAATGACGATCGATGACATTTTCCCATATAAATTTACATATAAAATGACAGCGATCTTCATTTCATAGCCATCGCTGACGCCGTTTTTATTCGATCATACGGTATATACACTACTGGCAAAGGAATATTAGCAATAGGAGGTTTTCAATGCGATAAAAAAAGATGGTCTTTTCCCTACCATCGTATAGGGGAAGTGATCATAGAAGTGATACGACGAGAGAGCCCCTGCGAGAGGGGGCGCCGGGCGGGTCCTTAAGACGCTTGTGTGGGGGCTACCGCCTACTAATAGAACAGAATCGAAAAAATAGAAACAGGACGGACAGTGTTGCCATTCAATTAAATCGAAATTATGTTGGCTTGTCAAAATCCTAAATCTTCTAATCCCATTATCTTGCCTACTTAATGAAATATTAAATAAAGTACGAAACAATTTTACGAATGTTTTCTCTAGGCACATAACTTCTTTCTAAAACGAAAAGTAACATGCAAAACTTTGATATCATTTCTAAAATAGCAAGTGCAATTCTATGAAATGGCAATACTGTACGATCTTCCTAGCAGTCGCCCCGACACAGTCGGTCGGCGGCGGCGCTTCACAAAGCCGCGGCTGTGACAAAGGAATTAGGCCGAAAAAAACTTTATAAGGAGTAGACGAACAGGGTTGCCGGGTTTGTTAGATTATAATTCCATACGAGAACAAAATTCTCGGTAGATCTTCAACAAAAATTAAAAGTACAGAAACGAAATAAAATATAATATTTAAGTCCAAAATTAGCATTCCTATGTGTCGTAATAATAGATCACTCAAATAAAATACAAATATAATAAATATAACAAGAATTAGAAATAGCTAGGTATATTATTTAATATTAAAAAAAATATTGAATTAAATAATATTAATATATTAATAAAAACATATAAAACTATAACAAGTAGGGATAGCAGTCACAAATTAGTGTAGCAGTCACTTTTTACCTTTGTACAAATTTTGATCAGTGATATCTAAAATTAATTTCATTTCAATGGGAAAGCTGTGCAACTCTCAACTCTTTTTCATATTAATATATTTTTTGACGGGAAAATCACTAAAATATTTGTCCGAATTTAGGTTGTTTCTTAAATTAAATTTTGTTTTTTGTTTACATTTTTGGGGGAAAATATGGGTTCAACTTTAGTAGATGAATGAAATAAAATCTTTTCAAAGATATCAACTTCTTCGGGCATGTCGCCAATACCGCGCCTCATAAGGAGTAATAAGGATTTTTAGGAATATCTCTGTAACTCTGCAACTAGACAGAACGATGACCTGTATGTGTGTTATTACTAAATAAAATTTAATGAAACAATAATAAAGTCAGATTATACAGATTCCAACGCGGCAGTCGCTTAATTTTTAGTCAAATAAGTCAGCTTTTAAAAGTGCTTCTATTGTAAAACTAAAGACGCAGTTGAATATATCATTAGATTTTTCTTTAAATCGGTAGATCGGTAGCTTACAGACGAAACCGGTAGACCTGGCAACTCTGTGATGAACTGACGGGAGTCGGAATAGCGAGGTGCGGAGGCGCGGGAAGGGAAATAAAATAATGGCGATAAATAAAGGGCAGGGAGATGGGTATCATGAGTGGATGGGAGGTGGCGGAATTTCCAAAATTTGTTATCTTATTGGAGTTTGTCTAAGTAGACAGTCGTAGTGGAAGTGGAAACGGGGAAGTTGTTGTCCATCTCTGTTTAAGCATAGACTTTTTATAGGCGTTTCATTCCAATGCATGTAATTCCTATGCCTAGAGATCCATTGCCGGGCCTATATATGTAACTAGCGTGTACCCGCGACTTCGTTCGCGTCGAATTAATCATTTATAATGGTGATGGTAAAGCAAAGCAAGAATTTCCATTAACATACAAACTGGATAAAATTTTCTCACATTTATGTCAGCATGAGAAAAAAACAATATGGCGATATTATGATACAGTGTGTCAATTTTAAAACTTCCCACCCTTAATATCTTTCTTGCAGTTAAAAATATGGTAAATTGGAAAGACACCTCAATTTTATTTGTAAGGGGGACGCTCTAAATGAATATTTTTAGCCTTTTTCTTTCAACCCCTTAGGAGGGGTAGATGTCACCTTTACAATCTTAAATGGGAATGGGGGTCAAGTGGCACATCGTTTTAAAGGGCGTTTAATTCTCTTTTCAGTGGTATCCTACTTTATTGCTTTTTATCCAGAGGTTTCAGAATAATCGCGTTTCAAAGTTGCAGAAACAATTAAACGTGCCTGCATTGAGATTTTGGTTTTCAGGTTAGTGTTTACACAAAAGTTATTGAAATAGATCTCCTTGTAGTACAAATGATTAGAAGATTATGTTACACCTCTTACGCCCTATCTTATAAGTTGTTCAAAATGTTGTCCATTTTCCTGTAAACAGTAATAAAGTCTGTTTTCAAACATCTCCCTAACATTTTGGAAAACTTCACCGGGAACTGACAGGCATTCTGCTGTAATTTAAGATTATCAATATCAGTAGATTGTGTTTTATAAACAATGGATTTAAGATGTCCCCCCAAAAATACAAAAGTCTAAGTGATCTTGAAAGCCACTCAATTGGTCTCCTTCTGCCAATCCATGTACCCGGAAATCTCTCGTTTAACCACTGTTAACAAATCGTCCTGTGAAACTGATTACAGGTTGCCACTCATTCGAATTTGAGAAAGGAAACGTTAATGTTTATGATGTTTTCTGTTTATTAGTATTTCGAATTTCGACCCCCTAGAAAAATGTAATGGCTACGTCCTTGTTACCACCTGATCTTCTAGTCATTTGTACTGCAAGGAGATCTACTGCAATACTTTTTGTGTAAACACTAGCCTGAAAACCAAAATCTCAAGGCAGGCATGTTTAATTGTTGCTGAAACGCGATTATTCAGAAATATCTGGGCAAAAAGCAACAAAGTAGGATACCACTGAAAAGAGAATTAAATCCCCTTTAAAACGATGTGCCACTTGACCCCCATTCCCATTTAAGATTGCAAGGGTGACATCTACCCCTCCTATGGGATTGAAAGAAAAAGGCCAAAAATATTCATTTAAAGTGTCCCCCTTACTAATAAAATTGACGTGTTTTTCCGATTTTTCATATTTTTAACTGCAAGAAAGATATTAAAGGTGGGAAGTTTTAAAATTGACACACTGTATAACTTGGTAATATTTGAGGGGTAGTTTCATCTCGTTGGAATTTGATTTTCGAAAAATCCGTTAGCCAAAAATAAGCTTTTTACGTCAAGCAGTTGAAGCAGAATCGTGGTTAATCAATTACCCAACTTTTTGGAACACCCTGTATGATTTTTTAAAAATTTCAAAACATGTAAAAAAGCAAAATAAATTATGCGTGTCCAAGCGTTTTCCCGAAAGACTAACCGTTTTTTAAATAACAAATATTGTAATATTTGAAGGGCATTTTCACCCTCTTGGAATTTGAGATTCGAGAAACCCCTCCTTATCGAATCTCTACAACCCACAGTGCATCCGTTTGCCAAAAATCAGCTTTAAACGTCAAGCAGTTTAAGCAGAATCGTGATTACTCTATGGTCATATTTTATGAAACACCCGAGGAAACACCCTGTATAAATTTTTAAAAATCGTAAAATATGTAAAACAACAAAATAAAATATACATGTTTAAGAGTTTTTCCGAAAAACTTACCGGTTTTTAAATAAAAAATATTCTAATATTTGAGGGGTGGTTTCACCCCCTTAGAATTCGAGTTTCGAAAAATCCCTTTCTCTACACCCTAAAGTCAATCCGTTTTCCAAAAAGTCAGCTTTTCGTGATTAATCAATGACCAGATTTTTCGAAACACCCTGTATACATTTTTAAAAAATCTTAAAATATGTAAAAAAAAACAAAATAAAATATAGGTGTTTAAGCGTTTTTTCGGAAACTTGACCGTTTTTTAAATAAAAAATATTGTAATGTTCGAGGGGTGGTTTCACCCCCTTGGAACTGGAATTTCGAAAAATCCCTTCTTATCGATCCCCTACACCCTAGAATCAACCTGTTTGTCAAAATTGAGCTTCTTACGTTGAGTGGTTTGAGCAGGATCGTGATTAATCAGTGAGTCAGTCACTTAAGGATTTAATATCTATACTAATAAATAAAATCCTTAAGTGATGACATTTTGGCATACAGGTTGATTCTAGGGTGTAGAGGTTCGACAAGAAGGGATTTTTCGAAATTCCAGTTCCAAGAGGGTGAAACCACCCCTCAATTATTACAATATTTTTTATTTAAAAAAACGGTTAAATTTTCGAAAAACGCTTAAACACGTTTTATTTTGTTTTTTACATATTTTAAGATTTTTTAAAAATGTATACAGGGTGTTTCGAAAAATCTGGTCATTAATTAATCACGATCCTGCTTAAAGCGCTTGACGTAAAAAGCTGATTTTTGGAAAACAGATTGACTTTAGGGTGTAGAGGTTCGATAAGAAGTGATTTTTCGAAACTCGAATTCTAAGGGGGTGAAATTATCCCTCATATATTAAAATATTTTTTATTTAAAAACCGGTGAGTTTTTCGGAAAAACTCTTAAACACGTATATTTTATTTTGTTGTTTTACATATTTTAAGATTTTTTATAAATTTATACAGGGTGTTTCATAAAATATGACCATTGAGTAATTACGATTCTGCTTAAACTGCTTGACGTTTAAAGCTGATTTTTGGTAAACGGATTGACTGTGGGGTGTAGAGGTTCGATAATGAGGGGTTTCTCGAATCTCAAATTCCAAGAGGGTGAAAACGCCCCTCAAATATTACAATATTTGTTATTTAAAAAACGGTTAGTCTTTCGGGAAAACGCTTGGACAAGCAAAATTTATTTGTTTTTTTTTACATATTTTGAAATTTTTTAAAAAATCCTACAAGGTGTTCTAAAAAGTTGGGTAATTTCTTAACCACGATTCTGCTTAAACTGCTTGACGTAAAAAGCTTATTTTTAGCAAACGGATTTTTCGAAAGTAAAATTTCAAAGAGATGAAACTACCCCTCAAATATTACCAAGTTATATAATAATATCGCCATATTGTTTTTCCTCATGCTGACATAAATGTGAGAAAATTTTATCCAGTTTGTATGTTAATGGCAATTCTTGCTTTGCTTTATCATCACCATGACAAATGATTAATTCGACGCGAACGAAATCGCTGGTACACGCTAGTATTAGTATAATTGCTTACACTCACGCTAAACCAAATACATAGAATATTTAAATATAGGAAAAAAAATACTTACCTGCTTTCTCCCCTTACCCTTCATATAAGAAACCCTGTTTTTTTTATTTGATTACAAGACTGTGTTTAATATTTGTCATTATTGTTTATTAGAACGAAGGAATTGAAGGAACCGCAGAAAAAGGTCTATAAATGTGCCGTATGCGGCTGTCAAAAACAATATAGATCAAGTTTTGACCAGCATATGAAAGTTCACATGGCACCGGAAGAACGGCAGCTGTTTGCTTGTGTGCACTGTGGCAACAAATATAGTACAAAATCCAACTTGAAACATCACCTTGATAATAAGCACATTGATTCCAGGTAATTTTTTTAAGAATTATACTTATACATGGTATTCCGAACTGTATTCCGGAAACTTCGACAGCATATTCTGCGCATTAGAATAAGTAAAGAAGTTTGTATAAACTTATGTCCTTAAAATGCTTCGTTTCGGAGATACAGGTATTGAAGTTTAACTTTTATTTCGATTTTTTCGAAATAATTTTTGGACTAATGTCGATACTTTGATGAAAATTGGTATCTGTGGTTTTTAACATGAGAAATTTGATTTCGATGTCAATATAACTCCTACTTGTACGGGGCGCCACCTACATTTTTTTACTATTTTGAAGAGTAATAATTTTTCGTCCGTCCCTGTATTACACTACCGAGTAAAAATATATAAATTTACACCGAGGGTTAAACAGCTGACCCAAATTCTGTACACTAAACCTCCTAATAGCTAAAGAATTCCTGAATACCTCCTGGAAAATCCTGAATACCTCCTGGGAATTCCTGAATACCTTCTGGGAAATCCCATATATATTTTTTGGGAATTCCTGATACTATTGAGCATACGAAATTCGTAATTAGTTTCAAACTTTACAGAAAGTTGAAAAAAGTATCCAAAATCGACTCGATAAAAAAGAGTTTGGTTTGATTTGGTTTGGTTTGCTCATTAGTTTGGTCGATTCCTATTCTTAAATCATCTATCTCTTCCTCTTGATTTTCAAAAATACTTTCTTCGGCTATTTGCGAATCATCAAAAACAGATTAATTTTCATCACTTACTGCAGATTGTTCTTCTGAATTTTTTGTTATAGTGGCAGAGTTCCTTGAAAAATTTTCAACTTGCATTCCCAGCTTTTCAGTTACAGCAAGTGCTTCCTGCAAAGAGTCCATCACAATATTCTCAATGTATTGATCAGTAAATACATTTTCAATATCTTTCACCTCATTATTTGCACTCTACACTTCAATTTGTTCATCGTTTTGGCCCTTAGAACAAACTCTTTCAAATCTTTTCTGCTCTCTTAGGAAACGTATTATAGCTCTTAAACATGGGTAATATTATTAATCGATCTAATTCTGTCCAATCGTTGCAGTATGTCTTTAATACTATAATTTACTACCGTAGATTGCGTTGTTGTCATGGACCTTGTGGCTCGGAATATTTTCTCATAGCTTTGACTGTTAAAAGGCAAAGGAAGGAACATATCCTCTGTCAGGTTTGGATCTTATGTGTTCCGCGAAAATGTATAATTAAATCAGTGCATGTTCATCAAGCATATTAATTAAATCAGAGCATGAACGTTCAACTCGATGCATGTGTAACTGTTATTTGAAATAAAATGTTCTCCAATTTTCTTATTATTCATCATTAGCAATTTACGCCAAATACGTAAAAAAACACACAATACCATAAATTATATAACCTTCTTTTTAGATCCAAATTTATTTTCAAATAGGAACATATAACTAAGTTCATCATTCTTAAATTTATTGTTATTTTATTTATTCCTTGGTTCCTGCACCCTCAGCAACAGTATTAAATAATTCAAGGACTTCAATGGAACATATTTTTTGAGCTGCCTTAAAATTCATTTTATCTTCCAATTTTAAATCAGTCCTAGTCCGTAGGAGTTCAGTCGAGTGTTTTTGTATAAAAAAAAACAATACACCGAGCAATACACCAAATATTGTAATCCTCGCCAAACTAATTCAAACAGAACTTTTGTTTCGGGAAACGATTATGACGTCACTGTATACTAATGGCATCTGTTATATGTCATTATTATTAAAGAAATGTCTTTGTCAACAAATCGAGGAAAACGACGGGTTTGCAGTAAAAACATGCATTTTTTAATCGCTTATATTTCCGATAGATCTTTTTTTTTTAATTTCTTCTTGTCTGTGGGGCTTTTATAATTAATTATTTGTAAGCTTCATTCAGAACCTCGCAATTAGTGGAATAAATTAGTAGTTTCAATTAGCGTAGAAATTTATTCCTTTAATTTGAATGTAAGCAATCAGAACGTCATAATTAGTGGTAGACATTTTCAATTAGTAGGAAAAATTATCATACTTTTAACTTTTCCACCAAAGAATATACCTAGCTAGAAAAAGAATGGACTCTGCCATACTGAAAAATGGTCCTACAGAAGTGGCGCCATCTATTGAGTAGGGCTTGTCTTAAATGGATCGAAGCGCGGGCTTTTTAAATGAGCGTTTTTGTTGAATTTTACTCTAAAATAATTAAATTTGATTATTAAATTTTATTTTTCACACAAATTCAACGATACTAATAACAAGTATTGTTGTGATGTGTAAAAAATAAGATTTAACAGTATAATTTATACAATTATTAAATAAAATTAAAGCCAAACATGTGAAATATTATTTATTATTTAAAGTTCTTATTTATAAGTCAAATATTTAAGCATCGTTTATTAAATAAAACAAGACCAACGTAATACGCCCAAAGTTTTGTAAATGGAGTAAATATAAATAGGTACTTTAATGATGGCAAATATAAAAGACTTACATTATATTTTTAGGGCCACAAACAAAAGGAATTGTCTAATTAAAACACATATAACAAATTCAGGGGCGGGAAAGTGAAATACCAAAAGCAGTTCTACCGTTTCCACGGAAATCTCAAATGAAATAGTTCCAGCCCTAGCCACTAGGTGGTAGTGCAATTAATTTTTAGGTTAAGAAGTTGCTACTAGTTATTGCCAGATGGCGTTAAATCAGAATTTTTTTTAGTTTCCATAGTTTCCAACGGCCATTGTCATATTATTGTCAAATTCTCAAAAAATATTGTGGTTGTCATAGCGCCAATCATAATATTATCAAATCAATATCAAATAAATGATTATCAAAATGTTTTTCAAACTATAATTTGTTATATGTGTTTTAATTAGTCAATTCCTTTTGTTTGTGGCCCTAAAAATATAATGTAAGTCTTTTATTTTTGCCATCATTTAAGTACCTATTTATATTTACTCCATTTACAAAACTTTGGGCGTATTACGTTGGTCTTGTTTTATTATAATAAACGATGTTTAAATATTTGACTTATAAATAAAAGCTTTAAATAATAAATAATATTTCACATGTTTGGCTTTAATTTTATTTAATAATTGTATAAATTATACTGTTAAATCTTATTTTTTTACACATCACAACGATACTTGTTACTAGTATTGTTGAATTTGTGTAAAAAATAAGATATAATAATCAAATTTAATTATTTTAGAGTAAAATTCAATAAATACGCTCATTTAAAAAGCCCGCGCTTCGATCCATTTAAAACAAGCCCTACTCAATAGATGGCGCCACTTCTGTAGGACCATTTTTCAGTAGTCCATTCTTTTTCTAGCTAGGTATATTCTTTGATTGTGTCTTTAAACATTGTGAATGATCGTAAACTAAAAAGTATAAAGTGTAATTGAAACCACTAATTTATTTCACTAATTGCAAGGTTCTGAATGAAGCTGTAAGTGTTTTAATTCAAATTTATTTGTTATGCACTGAGCCTACTGTGTGATTTTTATCAAAACGAGGTCAATATTCGTGATTTGATGCGTATTTTTTCGAGCTATCTCATCCTAGATCTCCTCCATACCTCCTGGAATTCCATCATAAATCCTGGGAAATCCTGTATACCTCCTGGTAAATCCACATTCTTCTTAAGAAATCCTATATACTTCCTGGTACTTTTTAGGAATTCCCGGGTACTTCCTTTCGAATGTACACCTACCTCCTGCAGCTGTTCACCCCTCGATTTACGCCTTATTTCACGTAAAAAATGTCTGTTGATAAAACTCGCTGCGAGCAACCGTTCTCAAGACATTTGGATTCTTAATAATTGATACCAGTGACAAAAATTAAACATGTTCAATAGATAGTTTCTGAGCTACAGGGTAATGAAAATTTTGCAATTTGGCCATCCCCGTATCTTCGTTATTGTGAAAAAAAGGGGAAAAATGTTTCTAGTGGAACTTTTTCCATAGAATATAGTGGCGTAAACTGTTTTTTTTTTGGAAAAAATATTTTCGGAGATTTGGAATTATTTTTTTTGGTAAACTAAATGTTTTGTCAAATCGTACACCCTGTATATTTATATATTGTATGATCCAGCTTACTAAACTTCTCAAAAATTTATAACACTGTGTATTGATTTTCACGATTTAGTCTGAAATTGATATTTATATTTTTATTTTTTTTTAGTCTGTACGTTACCATTGAACCTCTGTGATATACAGGGTGTCTCAGGCTGAGCGTACATTAGAAGTTTCTAGGGAACCACAATATCTAGATCGGAGATTTTTTGCAAATCATTGTTTCACAACGAGATCTATCGATTAAAAATATTTTCAATATCGCGGCACTTCCGGAAGTACCGGAAATTGACTGCAACTTTCTTATTTAAAATGGGTGCACATATTTTTTATTTCATACTTAAATTAGCCGTAAAATTCTGTGAATATTGATGTTAAACACTTTATACTTAACATTAACCGTTTTTTGAGAAAAAAAATTAACATTTTTGGACGGAAAAAACTGCCTGTCAAAAAAATTATATAGCCTAAACGTCAAATTTAGTGATTACCACAGTCACTGTGCCATAGAGAGAAGACATGTGACTATGTATTTCAAGAATTAAATTGTTCAAATGGCATATAATAATGGCGGTAGCTGTCATTGAATTGAGCGTTTAAAAAATTATCATAAATCATTTTTTTCAAATGGAAACCCACTTTTTTTATTTCACTAGTGAAAAGGTTTTTCAATTCGTTACTTTTTAACTATACATGTTTCTATACCTAAAATAAATCGTTTTTAAGTTATTCAAAATTTTGTTTGAAAATGTATATTTTTCTTGATTTTATCTAGCTTCCTTTGATATTAAGTGTCAAACTGTAAAACAATTAAATTTAGACAATTAAATTTCCATCTGTCAGAAAACGACTGATTTGAATTTCCTATATTATAAATACTGTTGCTTAAGAGTTTAAAAAGTGTATTTATAAAAATATATCTCGTATTTTCGCTCTTTAGTGATATCTAATAGTTGATATTATTAATAATATACCGTATGATCGAAAAAAAAACAGCGCAAAGTTAAGTTCGAAATGATGATCGATAACTGAAGATTAATTATTAAGATTTCTGAACAAAATGTCACAATATGACATGACCAGATCTATTGTTTTACATCACTTGACGTTTAAAGTCATAGGCTATTGGTTAAAATCAAGAAAAATATACGCTTTAAAACTAAATCTTAAATAACTTAAAAACGATTTATTTTAGGTGTAGGAACATGTATAGTCAAAAAGTAACGAATTGAAAAGCCTTTTCAAGTGAAATAAAAAAAATGGGTTTCCATTTGGAAAAAAATTATTTATGATAATTTTTTAATCGCTAATCATTGACAGCTTCGGACAATTTAATTTTTTAAATAGATAGCTGCATGTCTTCTGTTTATGGCACAGTGGCTACGGTAATCAGTAAATTTGACGTTTAGGCTATACAAATTTTTCTGACATGCAGTTTTTTCCGTCCAAAAATTTTAAATAGTTTTTTTATCTCAAAAACGATTAATGTTAGGTATAGAGTGTTTAATATCAGAATTCATAAAATTTTACAGAGAATTTAAGTACGTAATAAAAAATGGGGGCATCCATTTAAAATAAGAAAGTTGGTGTCAACTTCCGGTATTTCCGGAAGTGCCGCCATATTGAAAATATTTTTAATCATAGATCTCGTTGTGAAACAATGATGTGCAAAAAATATCCGATCGAAATATTGTAGTTCTCTAGAAACTTCTAATGCACGCTCAGCCTGGGAAACCCTGACAAATAGTCCTAATTCTCAAACCATAAAATAATTAACTAGAAAGAAGTGTCAACTCTGTGTTAAATCGTGGAAACACGATACGCCACCGAAAGCCTTCGTTGTCGTCTGGAGAACTAATTTTCCAATTGACAGGTTGACATGATGGCTTCATTTTTATTTCCGTTTCCGGTTACTCTATGGCGGGCCCTCTTTTAGTTTAAATGTATTTTGTACTCTTTCTTATCATAAATAAAACAAAACAAAATTTTATTCAAACATATTTATTTGAAATATGAGACAACGTGACTAAATAAATATAAAAAATAAAGAATTGAATGATTTCTACAGCAATTACTTAATTATATGCAATTTTAACCTAAATTAGTAAGGTATAAGCATGACTTACAGTAATGTGTAAATAAATACACGTATTCACAGCCATCAGGGACAGAAAACGGGGGCAGGAACATGAAAACGGAAGCCTTATACAAAAACCTGAAAACAGAAAAACAAATTTTTTTGTACTAAAATTAACAATGTAAAAATATCAATAGGTATAAAATATAAATATACTCTTTAAAAAAAGCGTCCATTATTCCCAAAGAGACCTGGCTTATAAATCAAAAAGAAGCAAAAAGAGACTTTTAGTCGGATAACATAACCAGATTATCAGTTCGATTTATTGCATTATTGACAATAAATCGCACATACTGGAGATAGCTAATGTTGGCGATAGTTAAAAATGATCTTACCTTGCTGTAAATTGTTTCCATTTTCAAAAAAATCGCCGATCAAAGAGATTATAACACCATTTTCTTGCATCTAAAAAATGTAAAAACAGTGTTTATTTACTACCTATTTTTCATATACATGGGACATACCTACTACTGCAGAAACGTCATTTTCTCCAGGATTCTTCATGTAATATATATTTTATATACTTTATTACCTTTATATTTATAAATTTCAGCCGAAATATTAAATTGAACTTCCAAATCGAAACTAAACGGAATGAATTAAAATGGCGTCGAATATTTTCTAATTTGTTCTAGAACAAATCTGAAGTTGTCTCTGAAACTGAAATCTGTCAATTCTAAGCTGTGAAGTTAGACAATAGTTAGACAAAAACAATGCTGTCATTGTCTAGGCGGCCATACTTGTCGTGAGGAGAATGACACTAATGACTGTTTCCAATTTTCCTATTTCACTGTCACCCCCCTGTCTCAAACCGTTGGGATTATAATGGGATCGGTTTGCAGATATAAAGGCGGGTTCTCACTTGTCAGTTTCGCTGACGCAGTCTGACTGATTCATTATCAATGAAAAATAAAAAACAACGATTGTATTCACACGTTTCATGTTTTGCTACATTCAGTATTCCAACAGTTGGAATTTTAAAGTAATTAAAGTTATTTTCAGTTGGTCCAAACATTCTAATGTGGTGATTTCGTATAGACATGAAAATGGTTAAAACAAAATTGAAACCAGATGTTCGCGAAGTTTGTTTACAATTAGCAAATGAATTACAGAATATTCTGGTGAATCAGAAAAGAAAAAAAAAACGTCGTAGGTGGTCAGGTCCTGGATAATTGCGAAGAAATAAACGGGGTGCTAGTGAAACTATATTAAAAGAATTAATTAACTTAACTTGTAAACTGCACAAATCACGAAAATGTAGTTCTCACGCTTCAGTTTCTATTCATTATTCGATAATGATCAGTCAAAATGAAAAAAAGTAGAACTGGTTTTCACTTTAACTGAAAGTACGAATGTACTGATCAATTAACATGAAAATGTGTTCTGACGTTCATTGTTTGTTCAGTATCACTGAATCAGTCAGACTGCGTCAGCGAAACTGACAAGTGAGAACCCGCCTTAAACGCTTGCTTGATAGCATTTTCCAAGTCTTCGACATTGATATAGTTGCCAAATTGTATATTAGTCGCGGCCTACTAATAAAAATTATTTTTTAATGAAAACTCTTAAATATTGCAGTAAATTGGAAGTAAAAGCAAGTAAGTCAATTTCTCTCCAAACAGAAAAGCAGGAATGTTCAAAACGTTACAAAAGTAAAGTACAGGAACTTATAAAAATTGCGTAATAGAGAGATTGGTTAGAACGTGGTAAGGGTATTTTTTATAAATACAATACCATTGTAACGTACGAACCTTGTACGAACTCGTCAATAAGTTGCCTGGTTCTTTTTTTTTTCTTTTTTTTTTGCCTTTTTTTTGCTTGACTCAAAAGCGGCTCACCCTTTTTTTTCAGATAAAAAAACGAGATTCGGTATATTAGCTGGTATTAGTATAAGACATAAATTCGGATTCATTGACATATTCAATTGTTTTTGATCGCTTCCTGTTTCACTGGAAATGATGAACTTTTGATTTTTAAATGGCACTCTCAGTAATTTTTACTTTATTTGATAGAAAATTTCACTCTGAATAGAATGACATATCACATGTCAACTTTTGACATTTTCGCTTAAAGAAATCGTATTTTAAATTTCAATGTAGAGTGTTTTATCTAGAGAATTTTAATCAAGGAGCCTTGGAAAAATATATTTTATCGTCTAATATTTTTCGTCTCTTGTCATGGTCGGTTAAAAGATGCCCGAATCATATTTTTAATCATATCTCAATTTTTTCAAATGGAACAAGGGTGGCTCATTAGCATATTTGGAAAAAGCATTTTTTTATGAATATATTGATACCACACACTTGGTATTTTGAGTCAAATTGTCGTTATGAACCGCATGTTATAATTTTAAATAAACCATATGCGAGAATGTCAAATTCAGAGCGTAATTTTCTATCGATTAAAGTAAAAAAATACCGAGGATGTCATTTAAAAATCAAAAGTTTTGTTGTCATTTCCGGTGAAAGAGAAAGTGACCAAAAACAATTGAATACGTCAATCCTAATTTATGTCATATCACTAACATACCAAATCTCGTTTCTTTATCTGAAAAAAAAAATAAAAAAGTTATAGGGGTGTGTCACTTTTGAGACGCACCCGGCATATAGTAGTTTTATCTGTTTTTCCTTTATAGTATAACTTTGACGCTATAATATAGCAACCTCTAGTCAGATATATTATATTTTTTGACTAGAGGTTACTTTTTTCTCAGTTTTGCGGCGTCTAAAGATGCTTACACTCACGCTAAACCAAATGCACCGAATATTTAAATATAGGAAAAAAATTGACTTACCTGCTTTCTCCCCTCACCCTTCATATGAGAAACCCTGTTTTTTTATTTGATTACAAGACTGTAGATTACTGTATTTTGATTACAAGACTGTAGTTTAATATTTAAAAATTATTTTATTAGAACGAAGGAATTGAAGGAATCGCAGAAGATCTATAAATGTGCCGTATGCGGCTGTCAAAAACAATATAGATCAAGTTTTGACCGGCATATGAAAGTTCACATGGCACCGGGAGAACGACAGTTGTTTGCATGCCCACACTGTGACAAAAAATATAAGAAAAAAGACAGTTTAAAATACCACCTTAGGGATAATCATATAGATTCTGGGTAAATATTTTGTTAGCTTAAGTATTCTAGATCATATACCGCGCTGGCCACTTTTATTTTTGGGTCGGTATTTACATGTGTGGAAGTGAAACACGAGTGTCTACGGGTAGTCATGCTTTAGTCATGTCTCATGACTAATCTTAAGCCCCATACTCACACTTCGTCCCTTCCTCGCGTTACTTCCTCGCCTTACTTCCTGCGTTACTTCGTCCCTTCGCTTCCTTCTTCGTCCATTCGATGCTTGGAAATTAGTCGATTATGCAACAATACACCATAAAACATTTTTAATATAGCAGAGCTACATGTTTATTACGAAATATCTGGTAACCTCTAAAATTTTTATTATAAAACGGCAATTCTTTGTCGTGTCAAAAATAAAAATTCAATTTTAATAATATAATTTTTTTTAATAAATCCGAATATTTCAGCATCATGTACAAGGTATATCAGTATGAATGTACAAGGCCAGTCAACAATAGAGTAAAGTTTATTATGTCATTTATATCGAAACTATGAAATATGACATACTAATTAAACGTTGATGTCAATCCCCATTTCTTCAGATATTTTTGTAAAGGCTTCATACACACTATTTCTATTTTTTTTTTATTTTTGTCGCTACGATTACATAAATATGGACATGTATTTCTTCACAAATATGAATACAATATTGTCTTTTCCTTCCGTTTTTAAGACTATTGTGTGTGATATCTATTTTTATATCGACTGGCGATTGCTAGATGTACAGGGTGTCCCATTTTTGTGTGTTTTATGGGGTTTCTGGTTTAAGAGTAGAGATATAAAGATGCCGTTTTCACATCATTGTTCTACTTATTATGAAACTAAATATGCTACACACAGATTTATCCTAGCCTTCTTAGTTCAAATTTATTTCTTATTTCATTCTTTTATACCTTTTATTTTTTAATTAGTAGAAATTTTTGCATTGTTCGATAACCTTTGTATCTCGATAATTTTATAACTTATCTAAAAGGTGAAAAGGGTCAGTGATGAGCGGTGGGTAAGTACCCAATTTGTAGATAAATAAAATCTGAGTGTATATGTATATACCTGTACATTTAGATGAACATCCTAATTTTATAAAAGGTATTTCCGACGACCGCATAGTAAATACCCGGTATAATACCGGGAACAGGAATATACCAATATATATTAGGAATATTGTATAGATATATTCCTGATATTACTTGTATATTTCTGGTATTTTACCGGATATTTCCTATGCGGTCATTGGAAATACCTTTTATAAAATTAGACTGTTCATCTAAACGTACAGGTATATACCGGATACCCTAATTTGTTTTTTTTTCTACCTATTGAGTACTTACCCACCGCCCGTGTCTCGTTTTTCAGGGAGAATGCAGTGACGAAACTAGTTCTTCGTTGGGAGCTGTCTATTTCGAAAAATGACTCAAACTTATGTTCTTTTTTTTAAACAGGACAATCTATATATTATTTTTTATTTTATTTGCCTTGTTATGAGCTTTCTAAAATTATAATATGTATACCCTAGGTATACTTATTTATTTAGGTACTGCTAAACGGCTCTTATTTTAGAGTTATATTATAACTATACATCAAAATTAGCGTGGAATAGCCAGTAACCCACATTTTACGTCGAATAAATTAGTTGATTGTTTTGATTACCTAATTTAAACCGGCCGCCTATGTAATAAAGTTAAATAATGCATTTTTACCCCGTTTATGAAAATATGTAAGTATTTTAGAAAGCCTGTAACAAGGAAAATAAAATAATATACAAAATGTCGCAAAATATCGACAGATTCTAACGAAGAACTAGTTACGTCACTGCATTCTACGTGAAAACTGTACAGGACACCGTTTTTACCTTATCGATAAGTTATAAGATAATCGAGATACAAAGGGAATCGAAAAATGTTATAATTTCAGATTCGCCCTGTATATTAGAAAGTAAGAGCGCTAGGACATTTCTGTATGTAGCATCTTTAGTTTCATAAAAAAGTAACATCGTAATGTGAAAACCGCATCTTTGTAGCTCGACTCATAAACGAGAAACCCTGCAAAACACACGAAAATGGGACACCCTGTACAGACGTACTGCCAAATCAAGAAATCAACTACGAATGAAACCCAAGATCGATTTATATATTTTAGTATTTTTTGTATTCGTGATAATTCCTTTGCTACTTCCTCCAAAAACCGACAGTACAGGGAAGGAGCGTTTCGAGGAAGTAAACGGACGAAGGAGCGTTTTGACGAAGGAACGAAGGAACACACAGTCGCATAAATCGACAATTTCCCATAGTAAATATATGATTTTTGGACGAAGGGACGCGAGGAAGGAACGAAGTGAAGTAGCGAAGTGTGAGTATGGGGCTTTACTGTAGACTTGCCCAATAAATTGTTTTTTCTACGATAAAAAATAATAGTAAAATATTGTGTTACTAGGTTAAAATAATTATTTTATTTTGTTATTGCTAATAGAGGGAGTCTCATTCGCCGGAGATGAACAAGGTTTGGAACAAGATATTGAAACTGCATTTACTAATACACTTAAAATTTGATATTTTATTTAATAAAATAAAGTAAAAAAACACTTTTTGATTTTTTTAATCGTTATTTTTATGGGAAAAGCCATCTTGTAATAAAAAATTATGCCGGTTTTTATTTTATTTCACTATCCTCCCTCAATTTACTTTTTTTACAATGCGACAAATATGTAAGTTTTATTGTTTTTTTTAATTTATTAAACAATTATTTTAATTTCCTTAAAATACTGTCGGTCGATCGGCACGCCGCGCCACTGGAAAATGACCTCAAACGTCTAATCTTTGTACACACCTACATTGTTGCCATCGCGCAGATACCTTATTTCCTTCTCTATCCATTCTCTCTCGCACTCGTTGATTTTCGCAAACCAATGTGTGATGAAGTTTTAGAGTGTTTTATGAACGGATCATATTGTATCTCCCGAGTTTAAATATATTTAACTAAACGTTCTCCAACCCAGTGTGAGTACATATCAATGTAAATTGTATTTTTTTTCCGAGTGGTATTGCTTTCTGGTGTGACTTTTGTCTTTCTGGGCCTGAAGATGGGAATTAAATGAATCCCGAAACATGTCGCCCCAATTTTAAATCAAATTAAATTTTGAAATAAACATCTTAAAAGATTGTGAGTTTCTTGAGTAACCTACCCCTCGTCAGAGGTTTTACACTTAAATATCTTTGTTTATAGTACAAAAAAAACATAAAAATATTTTAATGTAACATGAGCGTCCTCTTTGACCTCATATCTTGTGAAAAACACTGGAGCACAAATATCAAACAGAATTTATGATATGAAGCTTTTTCTTTCGGGACACATTGTAATATTAAATAATCTTTTATTAGGCTAAAGGGGGCGCAGCAAACGGTCTATCATACATGTTCCGAATGTGACTACCAAACACCATACAGGTCAAATCTTAGACAACACGAGAAAGTTCACTTGGCACCGGAAGAACAACAGATGTTTGCTTGTGCGCACTGTGATGTAAAATATAGAAGAAAACATAGCTTACAATACCACCTTGATAATAATCATACGGATTTGAGGTAAATATATTGCTAGAAAGTATAAGAATTACACTACTATAATGTACCACCATATGATTACATGCACGCAAATTAAATATGAATTTAGTGTTATATTCAAGTCATTCCACATCTTGTTAGTCGTAAATAAGAAATAAAGTTAATTGATATCATTTATACCGGGTGCGCGTCAAAAGTGGCTCACCCCCTATAACTTTTTTATTTTTTCAGATAAAAAAACGAAATTTGGTATGTTCGTATATGACATAAATTAGGATTGATTGACGTATTTAATCGTTTTTGGTCCGTTCCTGTTTCACCAGAAATGACTATAACTTTTGATTTTTTAAATGGCACCCTTGGTATTTTTTACTTTATTCGATAGAAAATGACATTCGGAATAGAATGACATATCATATGTCAACTTTTGGCAGTTTCGGTTAATAAAAAATTGTATTGTAATATTCAATCTAGATTGCCAAGGTCATGTTAAAAACACTAATTCTTAATCAAGGAGCCTTGGAAAAATAGATTTGATCGTCTAATGTTTTAGTGGCTTGTCCTGGGCAGTTAGAAAATGCACAAATCGTATTTTTAATCATATCTCAATTTTTTCAAACGGAACGAGGGTGGCTCATTAGTATATTTGGAAAAAGCATTTTTTTACGAATAATTTGATACCACACACTTGGTATTTCCAGTCAAATTATCGTTACGAACCGCTAGTTATAATTTCAAATAAACCATATGCGAAAATGTCAAAACTTGACATATGATATGTTATTCTATTCAGAATGTTATTTTCTATCGAATAAAGTAAAAAAATACCGAGGGTTCCATTTAAAAATCTAAAGTTGGTAAATCTCTCTCTCTCTCTCATATGTAAAGGGAACGTCAGATCAAAAGATCAGGCGAATAGCCAAAACGTATAACATTAAAACTGTCTTCAAATCTGGATCGACGCGTCCTAACACAAACAAGGCCGGAATCATTGAAACAAGAGAAAGAATGCATCTACCAGGTACCTTGTGAATGCGGTGAGTCTTATATTGGGGAGACTAAACGTCCTCTTAATGTACGACTTTAGGCAGCACAAAAAAACATGTACAAAAAGGTGAAACCATGAAGTCAGGTATTGCGGAACGTGTTTGGTCAAAACAGCACAATATAAAGTGGTCGAAAGATCGGGTGGTCCGCGGGGACCCTCATTGGAAAAAGCGTAAATTTAAAGTCTTTTTTACAGCAAACAATAATAACATCTTTAGACTTTTTCCAGGTCCGTTTTATTCGATCAAAGGGTCTTATTTTTTTTATCCAGCTTGAGTTTAAAAAGGGATTTATTTAATTGTAACAACGATAGATGCACGAATCGGAGACGAATGTTTGAGTAAGACTTTGACAAGACTATAATATTTTAAATAAATATTCTTTTAGTAGATCGAAGGAAGTGCAGAAAAAGGTTAGCACATGCTCCATATGTGGCTACCGAACACGACATTTGCCAAACCTTAGACGACACGAGGCAGTGCATTTAGCACCGGAAGCACGACAACTGTTCCCTTGTGTGCATTGTGACAAAACATATAGGAATAAATTCACCTTACAACTTCACCTCAACCGTGATCATATTGAGTCCAGGTAAATTTATTGTTAGTATTTTAATACCACCTTTATTAAAGTACACCATATTGTTCAATCTCGCATTAGTAGTACCAGACAGTGGCGTGCATTACATATAGGCAAAAAAGCATTGCCTACCCTTCCATTTATTCAAGACAGACGCAAAATAAAAATATATTTATCTGATCAATTTTCATTATATATCTACCTACAAATCCTACAATGCGACCTACATTGTTTTATTTTTCTAAATAGTAAGTTAGTATTGTGTTTATTACGGTTGCAAAGCCAGAAACATAATACAAAACAAACGCCACCTGTTCAACGTCTTATTATTCCCTAAAAAACGCATCCCATTATTCGAAATCGAACGCACGGCCGCAACTTAACATTACATGGATATGGACAAGCAAAAGCAATGCGTTACCGCAGCACGGATGCACCCGATGTCTCGATGCCGCTGATGCGGTATTGCCAGTTCCGATGTTATTACAGAACTATGTAAGAAACAGTCCATATTTATACGGTCAATTTTAAATATCTGTGTTTTAGAAAGATTTGTATTATGCAGCAAATCAGAAATTTGCTTGTCTGTCATCTGTATTTGTTTCCAAATGATTTCATTTATTATTTTATTTGACTGTAAAATAATTTTGGCACATAAAATCTATTAGGCAGTGGCAATTGGAAATCTGGCAATATTCTGTACGGTTATTGTTTTAGCCAAATACGTTCAAATAAAATATACGGAGGGTACCGCTTAAATTCCTGTCCCGATGTTGAAGGATGGCTATAGAATGTCAATGCATTTCCTACATAAGTCTATCCTTGTTCGGGAGGAGGTTTTCTGCGCTTGCTCGATCTGTAAGCACTTTGATTGGACAGTTCCAAATCATATGATATGTTTTGTTTTGGTTTTATTTTTATTTATTTTAAGTTGAGGTTAAAGACGTTCTAATAATTGAATTAAATCTTTCGAAAAATTGGAAGCTTTTTGTTAAATATTCTGAAATCAAATAATTTGATAATGTAACATTATGCGCATATTTATCAATTGAGATATTTTAATCGTATCCAACATGTTATGGCAAAACACTTTTTCAACCAAAAGTTTTCAGATATCTTCGATTTAGTTATTTTCGAATGTTTATTTTGTTTATATCTATTACAAACTCAAGGAGCAACAGTTTTTTACAAGTAGTGTTAATTTTGATGCTGGTGCAATACTTCTACTCGTTAAAATAAGTTTATTATAAATATTACAGACATTTAAAAAAATAGGCTATGGAATAGGTATATAAAAATTATTTTATATCTGTCTCACAATGGGGGGCTCCTAGTAGCGTAATAGGTATCTGCAGTGCGATTCTGTAAACATTTCCCTGTCTAGTGACTCATCAATCGTATACAAATAGCATAGGCTCGATAGGAAATTTCTTGCTACAGAGCTTACAGAATCCCATTGCTGATTTCTAAAATTCTTTTTCTAGATAGGCTTCCCGCATCGTAAAAACTCCTATTTTATGGTATGTAATTAGTATTCTGAAGGTATTAAAATATTTTAATATCAATATAGTTTTTTCACTGAAACTCGACTTAAATCTTAATATACATTATTCATATTGTCGTTTTAGAGATTGTGCTTTTATACTTACTATTATGAAAATTTACTGAATAAAATATATAGTTGCAATCCTTTTACTGAACTCCTTAATTTCTTGTTTTATGAGGGGATAATTTTTGCTTATTTAGGTACTAATTTTAATTAGACTATTTTTTAATGAACTCATTTATATTTATATCATATCGTTCTAAGTAGACTTTGTTGTGTTAGACAATTATTATTAAATAAAACGAATGAAAAAAAGTCACAGGTACGATATTTTTTTTTTAAATTCAAAAAATAATTTAGTAAAACCACAATTATTATATTGTGGGTATATACATATGAAAAAAAATATATGGGCGGCCATCTTGAAAAAATGACAGTTTAATGACATGTCAAAATTTCAAAGTCAACTGATTTTGATAAAAATCGATATATAGGATGGCCATGGGCTAAAATGAAAGAAAAAAAATTGAGCTGTCAAAGTTGTCCGATTTTGATAAAAATCGATATATTGGATGCCCCCTACCCCATAGTCGGTTTTCATTTTATTTATCTCACATTTGAACTGTCAAATTTGACAGCTGTCGTTTTTTTTTAAGTTCTCCTTTTTTAATGAAAATCGATATACATATTATTAGGATGCCCATAGGAAGTTATTTAAGAAAAAAAAATTGAGTTTAAGTGTGTGGCACTGAGAAACCAGCATAACTAAAAAGTAGAAAATAAATTTTAGAAAAAAAAACTTTTTTAGAAACAAGCTTTTATTTAAATACACTAAAAAGAAAAAATAAACTTTTTCTTTAAAACTTTTATTATGAACTTATAACGTCATTATACAATTTTAATATTATACCGTGCTGGCAACTGTTACTCTTGGGTCGGTATTTACATGTGTGGAAGTATATCGCATAGGGATCTTACTAAGTCGGAGTGAGAGAAATGCGACGGAGTGCTGTTGCGGCGTTGCCGGTACGCCTTTTCCTATGAAATAAAGTAATATCACGATCGCAAACCGCTTATTTTTAAAAGAATTTGTTTTCGAAAAGATAACTAGATAAAATCATTAGAAATGTTTCTGAGCATCTGAAATGGAATTATAAGGATATCTTTAAGGTGTCATTTTTTTATAACGAGAAACCGTCAGTAATCCCGATAATTTTAAAATTCACCTTTTTAACACATAACACGCCATAGCTCAAGAAACACTTTAGATATTGAAACTTTTTTTATTTTGAAGATAGGATCTTTTACAATATGTTTACATAAGAAAAAATCAATAAGGTTGTTTTTTTTCCATTCAAAAATTGTAAACAGTCCATCTATTTACTTTTAGAGCATAGCAATTTTCAACAGTCGTGTAATTTTTTTATTGATAAAGATTTTCACTTACTGTCTACGAAGAAAATACAGCAGAAATATTAAGAAAGTTTTTGAAAAAACTACAATCAATTATTTCTAATAGATTTTGAGATATCAATTTTTGAATTCAGAGTTCTAATAGCCTGACCACTGTCGAAAACCAACTCAATTCCACTTATTTTTACCAAAATGCAAGTGTTTCTAGCTTGCACCTAAAAATTTTCAAGCTATAGGGAAAATTACAACGACTCGTTAATAAATAAACAAATAAGTATCACGAGACTTAATTAAATCGTGAAGCTGAACGCATGATGTACACCTTTCCCTAGAACTTTAAGCACTGACAGAGGTACTGATTGGGTCGACCGGTCAACTGCGACAAATCTGCTATATCCCCTCCACTTCTCTTAGCAATGTGCACAGTTTCTCGATTCATTTCATACGTTTGACAACCTGTTTACTGTTCTCTGTTTGTTCAGTACATTATAAACGCATTGTACTCTTCTTACATACGGAAATCTCGACCCAAGACTAACCTTTGCCAGCCCTTAGTATAAAAGCTTGTCGCGAGATTTCTCTACATCGATAAACAACAAGTAAATTAACTAAAACCTGTATCTACCCTGTCTCATTTTCAAAGTTTGTGTTATGATAGACCGCTAGACCAAGAATTACAAGATAAAGTTGTCGTACCAGATTTTTATGAGTGCAACTGTACACTCAAATCTCGCGACAAGCTTTTATATAATATTTTTAAAATTGTGTAATGACGTTATAAGTTCATAATAAAAGTTTTAATGAAAAAGTTATTTTTTTTCTTTTTAGTGTATTTAAATAAAAGCTTGTTTTTAAAAAAGTTTTTTTTCTAAAATTTATTTATTATTGAATACAGTAAAATTTCCACTTCGGCATCATCTGATTCTTAGTAACAATAATTGTTTCCATGGCGAATCAGACATTTTTATGCAGACGTTTTTATACGGTCGCAGAGGTAAGTCACTGAAAAACTGGTCCCAATTTGCGAACCACCAAGCAGCACGTGTGGCGCGGCGCGTAATGCCGGTCGCGCCAGGTCATGTTACACGCGATACACGCGACTCAATTTACGCCTAGCCCCAATAGTTTCTTACGCACTACTACTATAATGTACCACCATATGATTACATGCACGACACGTGAGCAATATAAAAAATAAATATGAATTTTATGTTACATTCAAGTCATTCCATTATTAGTCGTAAATACAAATTAAAAGTTAATTGATAGCATTTGCTGAAAAACTTTTTATTTATCACAAATGACCACTAATAAATCTTACGTATTATTTTTATAATCCTTTATGTTATAAAAAGGATATATGTGCGTATCTTTTCGTAATTAGTATTCTAAATATCTACAGAGTCTTAAATAAGTCCAAATATTTCCAAGGCTGGTAGATCTCGATAAAAGAAACATATTTTCTCTTTGCCGTTTATCAAATAACCGAAACTCCAAAATAAGCGAGTTATTTTACTTTGGAAATTTCCAAAAAAAAATTTTTTCCTTAAATTTTGAGATCCGTTTTTAAATAAAAACTAAAAAAAATCCGAAAAATTAAAAAAAAAATCCCCGAAAAAAAACCTTTAAAATAGTGTTTCTCAGGTCGAAATATACTACCTAGAAGACTTTGAACAAGACTATAATATTTCAATATTCTTTTAGTGGATCGAAGGAAGTGCAGAAAAAGGTCAGCACATGTTCCATATGTGGCTACCAAACACTACGTTCGACAAATTTAAGACGACACGAGGCAGTGCATTTGGCACTGGAAGCACGACAGTTGTTCCCTTGTGTGCATTGTGACAAAATATATAAACATAAAATCAGCTTACAACTTCACCTCAATCGTGATCATATGGAGTCCAGGTAAATTTATTTGTTAATATTTTATTACCACCTTTATTAACGTACATCATATTGTTCAATCTCGGATTAGTAATACCAGAAATTTTTTAAACTTAGAAACCAAAAATCAAGTTGTAACAGTGGCCCAAAATGATAGTTGCGAAATCATTTGGAAAATATGAATAATAAAAGAGCCACAGATGGTTTTAATGAATCCTGTAATTAAATCAGTAGCAAACCTTATACTGTATGTTCCCGGATTGTCTTTCAAGAGGAAAAACTTATTTATTATTGACATTTTGAGAAAAATGCATTCTTCATAGACATTTTTGCTTGTTCTAAAATGGTTAATCCCGTTTATACTATTTCAAATTTCCATACCGGATTAAAGAAAATAAAAAAAACATGAGAATTTAGTCGAATTTTTCGAAAGTCCTAAAAATCAAAACGCGTTTCTATGGTAATATAATTTCTTTTTCATTCTTTTATAGATTGTTATTCATAGAATTTTAATTAACGTCATATTTTTTGCTGTTTTAAAATGTTAAATGAGCACAAAATTTATTTGGTTCAATGCTACAGAAAGGGTGATATTTATCGAAAAATGTGACACTTTAACAAGAGCAAAAAAAATATAACGTTAACCAAAATCAAAGATCAAAATTAATAATATCCAGAGAGAAACTAATAACTAAAGTGAGAGGGCTTGTGGAATAGAGCATTTCGTAGACAAGTTTATTTTGTCACCGCGCATCCCAGACGCGCATAGCGTTTAGGCGGTCAAAAAAGGAAGTTTTCAACTTTGCAAGTTAAACATTTGACAGGATTAATTAGATTGTCAGTAGCTTTTTCTATTTCTTAGCTCTAGAAGGAGATAACAAAAATCTGTTGATAATCGGAGTAATAAATTGTTTTTGACTGAATGTGCCTGGTTTTTTAGCTTGTCAGAAGAGAAGATTATTGTCATTAAAGATTATTTCAGATTCTACGAGTATTCGGCATTTTCGTTTTGTGGTTGAGATCCAGACAAAACGTTTCGTTTAAAGGTAAGTTTTATCTCGGTAATTATTTTAACATACCGAATAGTAATAGTGAGTGCACATAATAATCACCTGTTCACTCCCAACCAAGTTAGATAAAAAGATATTGAAGATCGCAGCCTTGAGTTGGAGTATGGCAAGGAGTATGGAGTTAAATAAACTCTATGTTCCTAAACAGTATTTTATTTATAGGTTTTAATGCTTTAAAGTCTAATAATAAATTTTCGTTGTCAACAAAATAATCTAAAAAAACTACGAAGATTTCTTATCATAAACTTGAAAGATTAAGATTCGGTTCAAATATATAAATTTTTGGCACCAGTATATAGATATGAATGCAACCTACTATATCGATAATGCGCTCATAGTTCGGGTTAGACGCCAAAAGCCGCGCCACCAACACAGTCTTCAAAAATTAACGTTGATCGGTCTCTCTCACTTTAGTTATTAGTGTTCTCTCTGATAATATCCATCTATCAAACAGTGAAATCGAAATTATATTACCACAGAAACGCCTTGGATTTTTAGGACCTTTAGGACCATTTTAGGACTTAAGCTGGATATTCATGTATCCGTTGTACGACGATACGTTGATACGATATTAATTTTATTGGTTGAATTTAAAGGCTTCGATTGGTTAACCGTTTCTAACCAATCTAAGTCTTTAAATTCAACCAATAAAATGAATATCGTATCAACGTATCGTCGGATAACGGATGCATGAAAATCAAGCCTAATTCAACCATATTTTCATGTTTTATTTAGTTTGCTCTAAAACATTATGGAATTTTGGAAAAGTATAAACGATTTTGAAGCGATAGCTCAAAATACGCTAATCTTGAACCAGCACTAAAAACACGCGCAAACAACTGAATTTGAAGGAAATTTTGTCTACTTTTTTTTCTACAGAAGTATCATTTCTGAAAAATGTATATTTTTGGAGTTAAGCGCAAAAAAAGCAATTTTTTTACGTTTTTGGCATTTTTTTCAATGTTCCGTCACAAAATTTTGTTAGCAACCATCAGATTCGGATTCAGCACCTCAAAAAACATAAAGAACATAATAAATCAGAACTATCCCAAAATTTTCCTCAAAAAAATACAATTTTACCATACTATTGGACGCTACTTGGATTTTAAATCAGTTGGTATGATCCAAACCAGACGATGTTTGGTCAAAACAGCACAATATAAAGTGGTCGGAAGCTAGTTGTCCATAAGGAACCTCTAGCTTGAGTTTGAAAAGGGATTTATTAATCGTCTATGAATTGTAACAACGATACATACACGAATGTTTAAGCAAAACTTTGAACAAGTCTGTAATTTTTAAATATTCTTTTAGTAGGTCGAAGGAAGTGCCGAGAAAGGTCAGCACATGTTCCATATGCGGCTACCAAACAGTATATTTGCCAAACTTTAGACGACACAAGGCAGTGCATTTGGCACCGGAAGCACGACAGTTGTTCCCTTGTGTGCATTGTGACAAAATATATAAGAAAAAAAGCACCCTACAACTTCACCTCAATCGTGATCATATTGAATCCAGGTAAATTTATTTGTTAATATATTAATACCACCTTTATTAAAGTGCATATTGTTCAATCTCGCATTAGTAATACCAGAAATTTTTTAAACTTAGAAACCAAAAGTCGTAACAGTGACCCATAATGATAGTTGAGAAATCATTTGGTAAATATGAGTAAAAGAGCCAGATGGTTTTAATGAAGCCTGTAATTAAATCAGTAGCAAACCTTATACAGTATGTCCCCGGATTGTCTTTCAAGAGGAAAAACTTTTTTTTTATTGACATTTTGAGAAAAATTCTTCATAAACATTTTTGCTTGTGCTAAAATGGTTAATTTCGTTTATAATAATAATAATAGCTCCCGTATACAGAGGAGACCAGGCTACTAGTAACATAGCAGGTTGCCGGACGAATTTGCGTTTATTCGTACTCGAGATTCACTGCCGGGGGAAGCGCGGAAGCGCCTCGTATCTAGTCGGCTGGTCAGGCAGTACGCAGTTACAGTTGTGCTTGGACGGGTCGGTCGTTACTCTTGACAGACTAGGAACACGACGCGAGGAGTGCCGAGTAATTATTATTTTCATTTTAAGTGTTTACCTTCACTTAAGGTAACATTTAAAATAAAAATACTATTATTTGAGCGTGTTTACAAGCCAAAACTTAAAATAAATAAATTCTCTAAACCCAAAACTCATTTCTAAAATTAAAAACTACATCAATAAAATATAAAAAAAAACTAAAATCTTGAACAATACTGGCATTGTGAGCAGGGCAACCATCTTGTTGAAACCAAACATTGTGGAATCTTTCTCCCAATAACTCACGAATCCTAGGGACAATCTGCTGCTGTAACAAGTCTAAATACTTTGCAACAGTTAAATTACCCTCTATAAAAATGGACCAATCACATACTCCCCTACAAAACCACCCCAAACATTTAGCTTTAAAGGGTATTGCGTGCGTACCTCAAAATATCTGTGCAAATTTTCCCGAGGCCAATATCGTACTTGTGTAGGGTTATGACGACTCAATAAAGGAAAACTTGATTCGTCGGTGAAAACTATACACCGAATAAAGTTTTCATCTAAATTGGCCTTTTCCATTACAGATTCACAAAACGTCATACGCCTAAATTGGTCTTCATGGAAGATTTCTTGAGTTTTGCGCGCTTTATACGATCGGTATCCATTCTTTTTAAGGACTTTTAACCCTGCTAGGTGAAGAATCTGTTACTTCAATTTGATTACTTGAAAATGTGGGATTTTGATCCGCGGTAGCACAAATGAACACTTGCTTTAACTCCTGTTCTTCATTAATCAGCACATCAAGCTTTTTGTGGGGACACGCACTCATGTGTTTCAAAATTATTAATAACTCTTGAGTAGGTAAAGATGGAATTGGCCTGTTTACAAAAATTTGTGGAAAAATTGTTCGTATATCCCGATAAGACCTATTTTGGAGACACCATTTTACAATTTCAATTTTCTCACATACTTCGTAAACATCCATTATTTTACTTAAAAAATAAATTTTACACGAGAGCTGTCGCGAGAATCTGTGTATTCGTTTTGGCTATTAAAACACTAATAAATACAAATTCTGAAACATTCTTGTCACATATCTACCTATTTTTATTTTATCGCATTTTTTCGCCTACTTTTTATCCGGCGGACGGGTATACGCTAATTCGTCCGGTTCTGCCTATGTTACTACTACGGTGGTCCGGTCTGTATAGCGTTTAACGCCTTGGGAGTAGCGAGGTACAGCTTGCCATACTAGAGCCGTTCGGTATACAAGGAAGGCAATGTGGCTAGCACTACGCTTCAACCGCCTATTATTACCTCAGGATTGTGAATCCCAAGTACTCATTTAAGGCTGAGTCGACCTAGGTACCCAAACTATTTTTATTTTAATAAAAATAGTCGGCTGATGAAATGCCGGGTGTGGGATTCGAACCCACTACCTTCAGGTTGGTAGACGAGAGCCTGTACCTCTACGCCACCGGGCACCTTTAATCCCGTTTATACTATTCGAAATTTCCATACCGTTTTAAAGAAAAATAAAAAAAATAAGAATTTAGACGAATTTATCGAAAATCCTAAAAATCATAACGCGTTTCTATGGTAATACAATTTCTTTTTCATTCTTTGATAGACATTGATAAAGGAAATAAATTTAGATTGGAATGCCCGTCAAAATTTTGGGTCGCGACCGTTGTACGCGATCTGGCGCTGCTATAGCGGTTGCTAAGAACAACCGCAAACAAAAACAGAAATAATTTTCACTTGTCTATGCTGATCTTGTCAAAGTCAGAACCTTCAAAAATTATAAAATCTTTCAAAATCTAAACCGCTCTCATTGAAAAAATTCCGAAAACTGTTTAAAGCGTCCATTTTCAAAGTAATTATGGGTATCTTGTGAGTTTGATTTAAGTTTTATTTACACAAACCCATGATAATTGTGAAAAAGTGGCATGAAAAACTTAGAAGGCTGTGAACTGTGAGCTGCAAAAACCATCGCGGATAGGTATATCATACATGCCCTTATATAAAATAAAGTTTCTTGTATGCAACACACTGTATTTTATTTATAAAATTAAAAGAAAAGAATAATAAATTTGAATAAACAATATTTGGCGATATAATTCCGGAAAAAGCCGAACCGCTCCGAAATTTTCAAAAGCTTTGATTCGCGACCGTTGCAAGAATAGCGCCAAATAGTGTTTACATTGTCTTTATGGGCACTTTCCAATCTAAACTTGTTTCATTTATCTACTGGGTGACAATTTGAAAACGAACAGTATTTAATATTGCCTCTACCGATGATAGTATAAAAATTTGGCGAAACACGTCAATTTACATATCAAGGGGGACAATTGTTGAGGCATTTGTTGTCGTGTTACTTTCAACCCCTTGACCCCCAGGGAACCTACCCCTAAAATTTTAAATAGCAACCCCTATTTCTTTTACCATTTTTATGTTTCTTATAGAATTCTACACAAACTGCATTATTTTTTTGTCAAAATTGTTATACTTAACCTCACAAATGAATGAAATGTATTTTATGTACATTAAAATTAATGCATCTCCTTGAAAAATTATGATAATGATAATGAAATACTGGAAGACTTACCTTTACTACTTTATGAATTTTTCAAAATGGGTTCCATTCTTCTCCAAGCGCAAGTACAACCGGTATTCACTTCATTCACACTCCTGTACAATTCTTTGTTGTAATTGTTCAATGGAGTCTGGTTGAGTTTTAAATACAACGGATTTCAAGTGGCCCCATAAGAAAAAATCCAGCCGTATCAGATCTGGTGACCTAGGTGGCCATTCTATGGGTCCCCTCCTACCAATCCACTGCACTGGGTAATGATTATCCAACCACTCTCTTACTGGGCGTACATAATGCGGAGGCGCTCCGTCCTGTTGGAAGTGCAGCAAATGCTCATCTAGAAAAAGATTTCCATTGGTGTCCCTTTGATTTTCTACCTCACGAATTTAAGAGGTTCTATAGCGGTATCTAACATTTCTGCGTAAATTTCACCATTTAGATTTTCATTAATGAAGAGAGGACCGATGATACTATTGCCTAATATACCCACCCAGACATTTATTTTTGAGGGTATTGCGTATGTCCCTCTCTAATAATGTGAGGATTGATGTCGCTCCAATAGCGTCAACAAACAGTTTTGTTTGTTGACCTTGCCATTTAAGTAAAAAGTGCATTCGTCACTGAAACAGATATTCTTATTAACCTGGGCTGAGTAATAATCTTGACTGTCATAATTTCGCAAAACTCAATACGTCTGTCCGGGTCATCGTCCTCTAATTCTTGAGCAATTAGGAGTTTGTATGGATGAAATTTGTGAAGCTTTAATACTTTCCTGACTGACTCACGCGACAGTCCAGTTTGATCTGCAACTTTACGAAGGGACGTAGTGGGAGCCATAGCAACTTCACCAAGAACCTCAATCTGAGCGGCTTCATTGAGCAGTCTTGTGGCTCATTCCTTTTCTTATTGCAAACAGATCTTGTTTCTTCAAATTTAGCTACTAACTCACGAATGTACTTGTGTCCAACATTTCTTTCACGGTCTTTCGTTGAATGCGGCCGCCGGCGCCGTTCTTGCAAAGCAGCGATTTTCAGCTCCGTAAATGAAAATAATTTCCACGCGTTCAGCAATAGTGTAAACAATTTTAAGAAACAACACTAATAATTGAAAACTATTGAAATTGTTTATGAAATTAACTTTCACAGCTTATTTCACCGATTCTGGAAGAACATGAAATAAATCATAAACACCAGAAGTCGGAAAATAAAGAACAAGTACCCTCTTATCATTTGTTCGAAATATCAGGAATAAGCAAAACGAGAATCTTGTTTTGTCGAAAACGAAAAAAAAATAAATTACTTTATGTTTTGTAGTGGCGATATCGAAGGCGAAATGTAAATAAATAGAGGAATTTGGAATGTATAGTATTGGTCGGTACAAACATTTTTAAATGAAGTTCTATGAGGCGGTGAATGCAATCCGTTTTAAAATTAGATATTAAATACATTTCATTAATTTGTGAGGGTAAGTATCACAATTTTGACAAAATAATAATGCAGTTTATGTAGAATTTTGTAAGGAACACAACAATGGTAAAAGAAATAGGGGTTGCCATTTAAAATTTTAGGGATAGATGCCCTGGGGCGCTATTCTGTACACGGCATCGATAATTGTTGGTATCGGTAAGTTACGACAGCTCTCGATACGTATTTGTATATAGTAAAAATGTGTTAATTGTTGTTGTTATAGTTACCGATCAGAATCGCAAATTTGTACCGACGAGGATCGGTATCTCTACCGTGCCCTTGTTAAACTCACGGTAGAGATACCGATAGTCGTCGGTACAAATTTGCTATATGTCCTATTAATGACAGATAAAACTATGACAACAACAATCAACATGACGCTCATTGGCCAAACGTACCGATAGCTGTCGGTAACTTAACGATACCGACGATTGTACAGAATAGCGCCCCTGGGGGTCAAAGGATTGAAAGTAACACAACAAATGCCTCAAAAATTGTCACAACCTCCCCTAATACGGCATATATCGTTGTTATATCTCTCGAATACTAAGTCGCCTTTTTCATTTTTTTTTCATTGTTTTCAGAAATGCTGATGATATACCTATTGAAGTGATATCGGAAGATTCTTTAAAAATTGAAATTGATGATCACACACCGCTTTCGGATGACTTTAAGTATGTTGTTTTTATAAATGTATTTTTACTCTTAAATTCATTTTCTTGGGACATTAAGTTCCGAAAACGCTGAATTATGTTTTCATTTTGTTTAAAAATCTTTATTTAGTCTATGGACAAAAGTTTCAGCCAACAATATAACCTTCATAAGTGTTATACCGGGTGCATCTTGAAAGTGGCTCCCCCCTATAACTTTTTTATTTTTTCAGATACAAAAATGGGATTTGGTACATACCATAAAAAATGGGATTTGGTCATTTTTGAATACGTCAATTAATCCTAATTTATGTCATATACTAACATGTATATGACATAAATTAGGACGTATTCAATTGTTTTTGGTCGCTTCCTGTTTCACTGTAATTGACTACAACTTTTGAATATTAAATGGCACCTTGGGTATTTTTTTACTTTATTCGATAGAAAATGACACTCTGGATAGAATGTCATATAATATATCAACTTTTGACATTTTCGCTTTAAAATAGTATTTTAAATTTCAATCTAGAGTGCCATGGCTGTGTTAAAAACAATAATTTTTAATTAGGAGCCTAACAAAACATACAATATACACAATGGCATAATATAATAATATAATGGTAATAATGTTATTTATTCATTTAGAAATGCTAAATTTGTATCTGTGACTAATGAAGTAAAATATTTTATTTACAACCATATAAGTAATGTTGACATTTCCGACTTTTTGAAAGTTGGCAAATGTCAGTTTTCTAACTTTTACTTCCTCCCGTGGACGGGAAGTAAATACAGAAAAATTAGGACGAAAACATTTTTTTAAAGATTTTATTTTGACAAAATGCTGCTTTAATTGCAACTTTTTTTATAGAAAACTCTTTTAAACAAACTATAATCGGTGCTACAATGTCCTGTTAGGTACATTTTGTATTAAAAGTATTAAAATAAAAAGTTTAAAACAACAAATAACTATTTATTCAAATTAGTTGTTACATTCGAATTATTATATACTTTGACGCTTTGACACTTATGGATATACCACCTTGTTGGTGTATTTTGGTAGTTGATATTGCAATTTCTTCATTTTTTCCTGTCGCATTTTGATTGCTATTTAAATTGTCCAGGATATCTTCATTATCAGAACTTTCCGACAACATTCTGGCTTTCTATGTTATATAAGTTCGAAAAAGCGAACGAGAAATTCAAAACTGTCACTTAGTTGTTTGTTTTGCTGTTGAAGTTTTGCGCCATAACAACCAGAGAGAAACTAATAACTAAAGTGAGAGGGCTTGTGGAATAGGGCATTTCGTAGACAAGTTTATTTTGCCACCGCGCTTCTCAGATGCGCATAGCGTTTAGGCGGTCAAAAAAGGAAGTTTTTAACTTTCCTAGTTAAACATTTGACAGGATTAATTAGATTGTCAGTAGCTTTTTCTATTTCTTAGCTCTAGAAGGAGATCGCAACTAAAATCTGTTGATAATCGGAGTAATAAATTGTTTTTGACTGAATGTGCGTGTTCTTTTAGCTTGTCAAAAGAGAACATTATTGTCATTATTGATTATTTCAGATTCCACGATTATTCGGCATTTTTGTTTTGTGGTTGAGATCCAGACAAAACGTTTTCTTTAAAGGTAAGTTTTATCTCGGTAATTATTTTAACATACCTAATAGTAATAGTGAGTGCACATAATAATCACCTGCACTCCCAACCAAGTTAGATCAAAAAGATATTGAAGATTGCAGCCTTGAGTTGGAGTATGGCAAGGAGTATGGAGTTAAATAAATTATTATGTTCCTAAACAGTATTTTATTTATAGGCTTTAATGCTTAAAGTCTAATAATAAATTTTCGTTGCCAACAAAATAATCTAAAAAAACTACGAAGATTTCTTCTTATAAACTTAAAAGATTAAGATTTGGTTCAAATATTATACAAATTTTAAATTTTTGGCGCCAGTATATAGGTATGAATGCAACCTACTATATCGATAATGCGCTCATAGTTCGGGTTAGACGCCAAAGGCCGCGCCACTAACACAGTCTTCAAAAATTAACGTTGATCGACCTCTCCCACTTTAGTTATTAGTGTTCTCTCTGATAACAACCAACCGGTAACTATAGATATGGAAATGCCAAAACAGAAAACGACCAATTTTCGCATATTTATTTTTTTATGTATAAACCAAAAATAATTAAAAATATACCAAACCTCGGAAGAAAGTTTTCATTATTGTCTCGAGATTTAGTTAATCTCTCAACAACTTTTTTTTTAAATAGAAAGTCATGAAGCTCCGGTTTTCAATAAAGTCAAGCATGATAACTTTAAGTATGTTTATTAAAATGTGTATTTAACTAGTGATGGGAACTATCGAATGAATTAGACTATCGAATGGTTACTGAATGAATGATTTCAACTATCGAATGGTTTTATTCGAATAAAATCATTCATTCATTTGTATACTAAAGCATATGTGACAACCTCGCCGTGCGACTAAATGGTTATCGTTGAGCCGTTGAGCCACGGCTATCGAATGCTTTTGATAAATGAAATTTAGTATTCGTTTGATTTTTGTGTGCGTCAGTGCATTATTAGTTCTTCCAAATTTTTATAACTTCGCCGTATAAATACTGTGCTATTTTTGCGTTTATTAAAATATTTAAAATACTAAAAGAGTAGTTTTTTTAATTGACGATTGTGTGCGTGTGCAGGTGGTCAAAATTTTTCCGAAAATTTGTGTGATTTTCCGTAGCCCGATCTTTCAATTATTTAATTTTATATGGTATATGGTCTATTTTTTATTGGGAAATTTTGAGAAGTAGCAATTTTTAAGAGAGAGATGAACTTACAATTAATTTTAAAAATACATATTTGTATTTTAGATGTTTTAATAATATGAATTAGTTGAACTTAATAATCATATTTAAGTAATGTGGTTAAGTAAATGGGGGGTTATCGAACTCAAACTATGGGGTGAGAAAATTAAATTGAAAGTTTTATACGTGCCAATTAAAAAAAAAGTTAACGATGTTTGTATTTTGTTTATGCTAATTCTCTTACATGTAGTTTTTTGCGAAGAAATATTTCATTTATTTTTTAAAGTAAATGCCAGTAAAAGTAAATATATTATTTTTAAATAGTAATATAAAGCACCTAATATAAATAATTTTGATATCTAATTTTTTATTTATATTTTCCTTCCATTACACTGCATGCTTAGAAAATTAATAAATGTTGACATTTCATGATTTTAAAATTTGTTGTTAATATAACAAATTAGTTCTGTAATTATTATTATTTAATAAACCAACGTTGCCAAAAAATTTAGAGACTATATTATTTTTAAATAGGATCTAATATAAATAATTTTGACATCTAATTTGTTGTTTATATTTTGCTACTACTTAAAAAATGCTTATATTAAATGATTTTAAATTTTGTTGTTAATAGGTATAACAAATTATTACTGTTATTATTATTTATTAAAAACATTAAAAATTAAAAAATAAAAAAACATTAAAAATAATTTTCCTACATCCAAAATAACAAGTATTATTGCAGTGTAACAACAGAATATTAATAAAAAAAATGCAAAACATATAGACATACTATCCCTAACTAACTAAAGACAAACAATAATATTCTTTGCTAATATCAACTAATACCAATATATGGCAACAGCGCCCTTCATAATGTATTTTCTGTGTAAATACTAGCACCTCAATAAAAAAAATAATGTGTCCCATCTTTATCTGACTCCGCAAAAAATCAAAGATGCCGCCTTCTTTCATAGCATTGCCACCGACCGCTGTCGGGTTTCTCGGAAAGAAACCTACATCGCCGGGCGACAACTAAAATCCAGTTAATATTTTATTATAATCGATCCTGACGAATAAATGAATTTCATAAATGAATGGTTTTTGCTGCCGAATTACTAGAATACAATATTTCAAGGCAGATGACGCATCTATTCGATAATTTTTATTCGAATAGTTTTCAACGAATGTTTTCTTACAAGCTATCGAATTATTCGAATGAATTGCAACTATCGAATGTTTCGATAGTATTCATTCGATAGTTCCCACTACTATAAATATTTAACTATACGTTTTGTATTCTAAATATTTTCTTATTGTTTCCAGATATGCTGATTCTGTAGTTTTAACTGACGAAGTGAAATCGGAATGTTCTGTAAAAACTGAAATCGATGATCACGCTCTGCTTTTAGATGACTTTAAGTATGTGTTTTAAATGTATTTTTACTGGAATATTTTTAACTATTTTTTTTGTTGACTAGTGAAGTTAAACCAGAATTTGTGAAAATTGAAACTGATAATGACCCTCCGATTTTGAATGAAGACATGCATGATGACTTTAAGTATGTTTAAATGTATTTTTACTGTACAGGGTGGTCGAAATTGGTCTGTTTTAACAGAGAAAACCCATTTCCTGACTAGATAGAGCAAAACCGACATAGATGTCATGGGCTCGATTTCTGAGACACATTTAATGTCGTAAACCGCCTGTTGATATTTTCACTGCCAACTGAGATACTGGATAATAATAAAAAATATAATTTTTTAAATGGAAATCATAGTTGGCTATGAACTTAGAAAAATGCTGGCGTTTAACCCTTTCCAACGACATAAAGTTAGGGGTATCTATTTCTAAGAATAAGAGAAATATTAGGTTTTTTATCTTTATATCGAAGCGGGCTTTGATTTTGTGTTGACCTATTTGCCTAATTATTTTTTATCACAATTTAATATTCTATATTATTATTTATCTGCATAATTAAATACTTTTGAAAAAGTAAATTTTCACACATTCTATTTATATATTATTAGTATTAGTAATTACAACTGAAATCAACACAATAAACAAAGAACAACACTAAAGAAACGTATTTTTTGAGTGACGAATATGGTTTTCTAAAAAAAAAATCAAAGATGTTCAAACTGAGCACCTCCTTCTTGAATGCACAATAAACATCATTTGCGCACAGAGTTACAACGATTTATTAGGTAAACTGGTCTATTAAGTCCAAAAGCTTGCCTATAGTAGCCTTATGCAATTCTTCTCTCGTCCCAATGGCTCTTCCATTATATATAAGGTTTTTTAATTTCCCCCATAAAAAAGTCGAAAGGAGTTAAATCACAGAACCTAGTAGGCCAAGATATGGGCCCCTTGTTCCAACCCAATTCTCTCTAAATTCTCCATTTAATAGTTTGGTTGTAACCCTGGCGTTTTAACTGTAATTGGTAATACTAATATAGAATGTTGATTTACCTTTTCAAAAGTTTTTAATTATGCAGATAAATAATAATATAGAATATTAAATTTTGATAAAAAAATAATATTAGGCAACTAGGTCAACACAAAATCAAGGCCCGCTTCGATACAAAGATAAAAAACCTAATATTTCTCTCATTCTTAGAAATAAATACACATAACTTTATATCGTTGTAACTTTATAAACTTTGTATCGTCGTTGATTTCCATTTAAAAAATGATATTTTTAATTATTTCTGACAAAAAGAGCAAGCATAGAAAAAAACTGACTACGCCACTGGATTGTGCCTAAAAAAGTGCCTTAATAACGTTTTTACAGAATTTTATTATTCCGCAAAATAAAAAAGTTAGGGGCAATTTTCAAAATGGTAAAAAATTCAATAGGACCCCGTATCTCAGTTGGCAATGAAAATATCAACAGGCGGTTTACGCCATTAAACGTGTCTCAGAAATCGAGCCCATGACATCTATGTCGGTTTTGCTCTATCTAGTCAGGAAATATGTTTTCTCTGTTAAAACAGACGAATTTCGACCACCCTGTACATGTTGAATTTTAAATATTATCCTATTGTTTCCAGAAGTACCGAAGATCTCTCTATAACTAAGAAACTGAAGTTAGATTTTATAAAAATGGAACCTGATGATAGATAGCACTCTGTTTTCGGGCGAATAAAGATAATAAGGCTGAACTCTCGGCTGAACCTCTCTATGAAGCCAGAGACAATCTGTATAAGGCTAGTAAAGAATTTATGCTCCCGCGAAGAGAGTGCGACACTTGCATAATTCTATAAAGAATTGTAGTAAGGGGCCAACACAGAACAGGAGCGACTAAATTAAGCACGCTCCAACGTTGCCATTATTCAAGGATAGTTCGATTCGTATCTTCCTAAACTGTCAGTAACTATTTTTTTACGAATAAACGTTAGCATATCCCACGAATATGGCGTTTTGGGTTAAAATTTCCCTTTTCCCTCTGGATCGTGAAATTTCCCATGCATCGGGAACTTCTCCACGAGTTGGCATCACTGGATATAATACTGCTAATCGGCTATGACGACCGGTGCACACATGAACGCATTAAACAACTCTCTGAAACGTCTAAAACGTATCGGTTCTTGAAAAAGCTAACTGGGAGAGTATTGAAATCATGGTTATAAAATCCCGCTTAAGATGGACTGGTCACGTATGCAGAATGCAAGAAAACCACATACCAAAATCTCTGCTTTACGGTGAGCTTGTAGACGGTAAGAGGAGGCCGGGTGGACAACTGAAAAGGTACAAGGACATTTTCCACGAAAACTTAAAGGGGATTAATATACAGAATGAGTGGGAAGAAGCAGCTCATAATAGAACTTGATGGAAAAGAATTAACTAACTCAGTATATAAACTCAGTGAACAGCGACAACCAAAAAGTAAAGAGGCAACAAAGCAATGAGATTTTTGAATGTCCGGAGTGCGGTAGGCAGATAACATCATGTATCGGGTTTTTCAGTCACAGAAAAGCTCATGAAAGAAAACGCCTTGTGTGACCATCTTCTGATGCGTGTCAAATACTCGTTAGCGAGTAATGGCAGTAGTATGTATGTACTCCCGTCAGACCCTGCGTGCTAATAAAAAATACCTGCCAAGTACACGAGTCGTCAGAATGCGCCTTTAGGTGTTGGTTTTAAAACACTTTTTCTTGAGGGCTTCAAAAAATTCTTGGCGACTGAACCGGTGCGAGACACCTAAAAATTTTTTTTCAGTAGTCTGGCGACGACGCGACGGCCGTTAATAATAAATATGGGATGGAAACTACACACACTCTAGCATCAAATCTGCTTACTACTTTTTGGTAACTATTGGTAACTCAAAAGATCTACATCATTCAATATATCGATTTTTGAAAAAAAGTTTGTTATCTGCAGCACAAAGGCACGAAGTATTTTAACAAATAATATATGTACCAGGTGGCCAACTAAGAATGGACGCCGGCTGTATCTCAGAAACTACTTATCGTATAACTTTGGGAAAAAAATTCTAATAAGTAAATCGACCAAGAGAAATCGCTGGAAATTATTTTCAAGTTCGAAAAATGTCCGCTAGGGGGCGTTTTTCTGATAGTCAATCAGAAAACAGGGTTTTGCTCAAAAATAGGCAGGTGAACAGGTATTTTAGATATTACTATTGTAATCATCGAGAAATTTCTAATTTTTTTGATATAGAGTTTTTTGCTCTATCTCATAAAATAAAGTGGTGGGGGAAGGTTAAACTTGCTTTTATTAAAATAGGGATAACTCTGGTTTAGGTTAACTGATTTAAACAAACTAGGGCTCTTTTAAAAGAGATTTTTTTCCTTAATGATCTCCAGTGTAAATTTTGTTTCCATAATTTTTTTCGTGGTAGCTAGAGGGCGCTGTTTGACATCATAACAGATATTGCGCTTTTGCATAAAAAATTTAAATAGGAGGCTATATTTCTCTTTGTACAGTTAAATAGAGCACAAAATTTCCAAGATATCAGCGAAAACCGTAACTTTTATCTTCTCTCTAACCGGAGATATTAAGAGAACAAATCATGTTAGGCTGTCCCTTAGGACTATATGGTCTAAAAATTATAGTAGTAGGCTAGGAAACAAAAAGAGGTAAATTGGTTACGTCAAAATATCAAAACATATATTTTAATTTCATTTTAATACCATTTAATTGTTATTGATGCATGTTCGTTCTTGATTCGACCCCATAAATTAAAACCCACGCATATTGAATTCGATGATCTAGCTGGCCATGGAAATATGCCGCTCCAGCGTCTCTATCTACTAAAGTAAGTGGTATCCAAGAAGCCCCACACATTCATAGCAAAATAAGCGACACAACTGCATCAACTACATCATCTACACCAACTGCATTCATACTTATGAAATTGCGACAAATGCAATTTCATCGTCATGGATCCCCTAACAAAATTGGCAATTCATCTCTTAGAAATTATGGATAGTTCACTTCATTCAGATAATCATTCGACATCCTAGAATTCCTGCCTAAACATGTATCGACCAACGATCTTGGTGCTAAACTACTTGCATCCAGGGTAGATTTGGACCAGTAGTGCATATTGTTAACATTCGCACCTTCGGGGCTATATGAAAAGTGACCCAAACGACATAAACCTTATAATATAATAATAAATACCACAAACAACAGGTAAAACACGAAAACAAGTGAAATCAAGGACGAACTTAGATTAATAGCTAAATGAGGTTACATGAAATAAACCCTTAGTTTTCGGCCGTACGAAATTTGGCCGTTTTCTGTTAAAAGCAATATGGCGGCACAAAATTCCTAGAAGTTTTAATAAAATTATTGATTGTCCGACTTTTGGACATTATAATGTATAATTAAAAAATTACCTATGTATAATTAACCAAGAAATTCGTAAAAATTATTTGGATGGACGATAATGTTACATAAACACGTTTAAAAATTTATGACGTCATGAAAACGACCGAAATTCGGATGCACGAAAACTGAACTTAAACGTTTTGATATTTTGACGTAACCAATTTACCTCTTTTTGTTTCCTAGCCTACTACTATAATTTTTAGACTAATCCTAAGCGGCAGCCTAACATAACTTGTTCTCTTAATATCTCCGGTTAGAGACAAGATAGAAAGTTGCGGTTTGCTCTGATATTTTGGAAATTTTGTGCTCTATTTACCTGCGCAAAGAAAAATATAGCCTCCTATTTAAATTTTTAATGCAAAAGCGCAATATCTGTTATGATGTCAAACAGCGCCCTCTAGCTACCACGAAAAAAATTATGGAAACAAAATTTATACTGAAGATCATTAAGAAAGAAAAGCTGTTTTAAACGAGCCCTAGTTTGTTTAAATCGGTTGACCTAAACCAGAGTTATCCTTATTTTAATAAAAACCAGTTCCAACCAAACTTCTCTTCTTCTATATCAAAAAAATTACAAATTTCTCGATGATTACAACAGTAATATTTAAAATACCTGTTCACCTGCATATTTTTGACAAAAACCCTGTTTTCTGATTGGCTATCAGAGAAACGCCCCCTAGCGGACATTTTTCGAACTTGAAAATAATTTCCAGCGATTTCTCTTGGTCGATTTTCTTATTAGAATTTTTTTCCCAAAGTTATACGATAAGTAGTTTCTGTGATACAGCCGGCGTCCATTCTTAGTTGGCCACCCGGTACATACCTTTGACAATCTTCAAAATAATTTGGTTTTGGAATATTGTATAAGCACTTGTAACTTCGCTGTCCTCTCCACTCTACACTACGCTGTACGCTTCATGTGGGGCGGTTAGCATATTTTTAAGATAAAAACACAATTTTCTTTTTTTTGTCACTTTCTCAGAACTTCGTAATTGTCACCAGCGACACTGATTGACATTTCCAAGAACCAATGGGAGTTGTACTAAATTTAAATTTGACAGCTGTTTGATTTTTGGACAAATCTCATTGGTTCATTTGACGTGTCGCTGGGGACAGTCGCTGTTCTGAGAACGGGCCTTTTTCTTACTTATTGTCTTCAAACATTTCAGTCAAAATGTACAATGTCATATGACTACATCAAAAAATTTGTAGCACACATAAACGAAACAAGTTTAGACTGGAAAGTAACCATCCTTAGGAAATTTTTGCTATTTTTTTACGGGGAAATTTGTAATACACAAAAATTTACTTTCAAGAATTTATTATACAGAAAGGCATGCATCAAATTTTGTACACTTTATTAGTGAATAATGATCCAGGCACAGATAAATTCTTTTGTGAATATATTTATTAAAATTAACTTAACTTTAAATTACATTTGAAATCCTATTCTACATTATGTACATGCTTAGTTTTATACTCAAAACATCATCGGTGTAATATTATGTACCTCAAAATAAGCAAAATAAGTTTTGAAGAGAATAGAATAACAACATTATTTACTATAAAAATTAGAAGTCTCCCAATTTTAAATATCTATAATAAATAAATAACTTAAATTGCTCACCTGAGATAATTGTTTTTAAAGACAATATCATATGTCTAGCATTTTTTTTTGAAAAACATATAATTGTTGATTAGGATATATATGTAATAATAAATATTATTTTTTATGCTTAATAAATTAAAACTTCAAATATTTAAAAATGTTAAAAAGGTGAGGCTTTTTCATATATTTTTGATTTCAAATTTAGTTATTAAACTCTATTTTTTTTAATTTTACACAAATAGGGCTCTGGTTTCATCGCTGATATATTCAGCTGTTCATATGTACACATGTTAAGTAATCCTGGACATTATTATTTAATTAAAAAAAAACTATAAATCAGCCCTTAAGAACTCCTAAATCGATTACAATATATTAATGCTATACACTAACCAGTCTTAACAATTCACACAAATATTATTCACGCATCTCTGTCAAAATAAATAGAAATGTAATAATTAAAGCAATAATAACTGTATAGAACCTGAGGTTAATCTGAAATTTGTTGAAATATTCAGTTATAACTCAGATTGCATCCCGTTTAAAGTTATTAACTGGTCAATATTTTTAATGTTGTATTATTGGCAAATAGTTCATTTTTAAGATGCTTGGAGTAGTAATTTTATTAGATCATACTGCCACTCAATTGATAAGAAGTCAATTCCAACAAAGTTAAAAATATACTATAGAATCAAATTAGAATCTTCTAGAATTAAAATACAACTTATGTAAGCCATATACTTAAATTATATAGTGTAAAATATCTCAAAATGTAAAAAAGGATGTAAAAAACATAAAAATTTTTAAATACGAGATCAGTCGTTAAAAGTCGCAAGTTTCTAAAAAAATAACGTTTAAAAAAGAACGTATTTGCGAATAATGTATTCAGCCAGTAGATATTTCATAATTAAGAACGTATTTATAACAAAAAAGTCCCTAAACTTAAAAATACGTGTATCGAAATTAATCGACGTTATCCTGAAATATTAGTCTGATATATCCAGGGGATCCTGAAAGTGGACAAGCACAAAACGGACAAACTGACTGGAATCCGTTTGTGCCATGAGGAATTACGACATTAGCCCAGTATCTAAAAAAGAAATCGCAAATATAGTTTTGAGAATTATTTAAGGAAATTAAATATTTTACAAAAAATTTAAAATAGAAATTAAAATGATATCAGTCTTAGTGTGGTTTTACATTATATTTCATCTTGCGTCGTTTCCCCGATTCAATCACATTCAAGTTCTTTCTGTAAAGCCCCGTCTACACTTAACGTTTTACGTCAGTCTTACCTGTTCAGTTAAAACGTATCAAGTAAAACGGGCCACACATACGATTTATCGTACTGCAGGTTGTACAACACAAATTTGATTCGACCGTTTGAACGACAGATCGCACTGTTGTCCACAAATTTAAACTACTAATTTAATGTATGTCGTACAATAAATCGTTTCCCAGTTGATTTTGTCTTGTTCGCCACGGTTTTGTGTCTGTTAAAAAGGACAATAGCTGCAGACGAAGATGAAGAACCATCCCAAAAAAAGAAGAAAGTAGTTCCAAAGTAGCATCTGCTTGTATTTATTTTATAACGGGTGCGTCTCAGAAGTGGCTCACCCCCATAACTTTTTTTATTTCTTCAGATAAAAAACAGATTTGGTATGTTAGGTTGTAGTGTCACTTCCTGTTTCATCGGAAATGGCTACAACTTTTGATTTTTAAATGGCACCCTCGGTATTTTTTTACTTTATTCGATCGAAAATGACGCTCTGAATCGAATGACACGTCATATGTCAACTTTTGACATTTTCGCTTTAAAAAGTAGTATTTTAAATTTCAATCTAGAGTACCACGGTTGTGTTAAAAACGCTAATTTTTAATCAAAGAGCCTTGGAAAAATAGAGTTGATCGTCTAATGTTTTTCGTGTCTTATCCTGGCCGGTTAAAATATTCTCAAATCGTATTTTTAATCATATCTATTATGTTATTATATTCAGAATTTTTTTATAATAATATATATATTTATTTTTATAGAATAATTTTCTCTTGAATAAAGTAAAAAATACCGATTTGGTTTGGTTGATTTAAAAATCAAAAGTTGTAGTCATTTCCGGTGAAATAGGCAGTGACTGAAAACAATTGAATACGTCAATCAGTCCGAATTTATGTTGTACACTAACATACCTAATCTCGTTTTTTTTATCTGAAAAAAATAAAAAAGTTATAGGGGTGAGCCACTTTTGAGACGCACCCGGTATATCATTTTTACAATAGATTGTCATAATTTGCACTTCTTTTATGTTTATTTAAGTATTCGTTAATTTTTACATCTCACAATTATGTACTTAATTTGCCACGAAAAATGTTTAGATTGGGTTTTAACAACAAGTGCTTGCACACACACTATCAAACTATATCGTATCTACAACGCTGTACTAGATTTTCTGCATGCTGTACTTTCGTACGATACGAAAACGGTCGATATCAGCGCTGAAATAATTGATGAAGTAGCTTAATTCAGGTTTTTCTGATTACCGATTCTAAACAAATACGTTTTTAAGTCTTTTAAACGTATTTGGTTTTAAACCATCCTAGAACTGGGGTGCGCATGCGCTGCAGATTTCTAGGACGGACCAGAATAGTTTCTGTTTATTCTGTATATTTTAATTTTACATAAAATGTCGCGAGTAGAACTTTACGTTTCTCTTAAAGAAATCTATCCTGTTGAGAGCGTAAATTTCAAATAACCGATTTTAAAAACACTGAGTTTAGTATCAATTGCCCTGTATACACTACGGGTCGGGTCATCGTAAAAGCGTTGTCTGAATTGTGTATAGGGGCGTTGAGACTCTCAGATAATTTGCGCAAAGCGTGGTCTGGAGCGTTGTAAAGGGGCGTTGAGACTCTCAGATAATTTCCGCAAATCGGCTTGTTCAAGCCAAACTGTACTAATAGGCCGTAAAGTGTAAACAGAAGTCGTTAGTTTGTACAGTTCAAAAATTTGTTTTGAGTAAAATATGTCTCATCTTGATTTTTAACTGAACATTACCCCGGTTTTGGTTTGGCAGAAATCTACGCTATCGAAAAATGCGTACAATTTATCTTAGATAGGAACTATCGAAAACAGGAAATAGCCATCTTATTTGATAGTCAAGCAGCACTAAACGCGATCAAGTTAGTTCAACCATCAATTCGAAGTTGGTCAAAGAATGTCTAGAGAAGCTGAACAAATTTGGCAAAGAAAATAAGTACTCCTACTCTGGGTGCCCGCTCACCAAGGGATAGAAGGCAATGAAAAAGCAAATGATCTTGCTAGACGAACACTCCACTAACTGGACCAGAACCGTTCTGTTTTCCAAGTGGAAACCAACTAAAGGCGGAACTGAGGAACCTGGAAGACGCCATCCGTAACATGGAATGGGAGTACTCCAACGATCACACACACTCGAAAAAGTTCCTCAGTACTTACGACCGAGAAAAGTCAAAGATGTTCGTTGATTTAAGTAAAAAAAATCTTCGGATTATCACGGGATTTCTAACAGGAAGCTGTCTTCTCAACGAACACCTCAGTAGACTGAAGCTGAGGGACAACAGCGAACGCAAATTCTGTGGGGAAAATGGGGAAACACCAGAACACCTTATAACTGAGTGCGTCGAGACGACGACCGTTCGTGCCATGAACTTTGGTACGGCTAATATCGAGGATAGAGAGCTGGGCTCTGTGGAGCCGTCTCAGATACTGGCTTTTATTGAAGTCCTGACACTGTATGATGAGTTATAACTCAAGAAAGGGGAACACGGCACATGAGCTCACGTACTGTCACGTTGTCATGATTAATATGTCATATTATGCTTAGAAGCACATTACTATCACGTTTTATGCTGTAGTATACAAATTGACATTTTTCTTTAATTTCAGTCTGTGTTGTGTGCTTGTTTTTTTCTGAATTTTCAGTTATGAAAAGCGCCAGCTCAATCAGTTCTTCGGACTGGAAAGAGGAACTAGAAACTGTAGCTGCTTTTATCGTTCTGGAGGAGAAAAATAAAAACACGAGGAAAGCATGGGGTCCATGACATAAACATGAAAAGAAACAAATTGGGCGAATTTCATCGTTTGGTTCAGTAATTGCAAAATTATCCCAAACGCTTTCACATGTATTTTCGAATGACTAAAAAAGAATTTGATTTTCTACATCTGTACCCCAGAATAAAAGTAGTGTATTAAGTCCACTTTTTTCGAAAATAGGATTTTTGCTGCATTATGTGAAATATTAAGTCCACTTTAATATGCAAAATCGTATCAAGTTCTATCTACAATATTAACCGAAATACAATTTTTATAACCGTATTAAGTCACAATATCTCCCAGAAGAAAACAATATTAAATTAAATAGAATCCTTTTTTACCGGCACCTGTGAAAAAATATAATATTAAGTCCATATTTGTCTAATGTTATGATGACATGACAGTATTAAGTCCACAATATCGGCAGTTATTTGTTGGACATGAAGTGCATCAATTTAGGCCATCAGAGAAGCTTAGGTTTGATCCGTAAAATCTACCACCGAACTTCAAAAAATCACATTTTTTAAAGCAGTACTGTTACTTAACACTTTGTTTCTCTAGCTTGTATTAAAATAATGTCAGTATCAAGTCCTATTACTCCACATAACATTGTAACAAAATAATATTAAGTTCAAAAAAAAACAACGTTCCAACTCCAAAACCCAAGTAAAAACTCACTTTCTTTAAAACTGTGTTGGGTACCTATTAATAATAAGTAATATTTCTCCTATAAAAATTTTGAATGTTCTAATAAAATAAACAAATCGGAAAAATAACAAAATTGCAAAAATAAATCTTTAATTGGCTTTTCCCACAAATCGATAATTTGGACTTAGTACATTTTAATCCTGGGGTACAGACATGGTCTAATTAAAATTGACATACAAAAACAAAATACTCAACTTCGAAGAGCTATCTAACAGCATGTTCTCTGACTTTTTCTATTAAAATCTCATCCATTCTCAAATATAAACAACAAAAGTTTTAACACAAAACCCGCTTAAACCTGACATCACGTGAGACGAAAAGTGTGGATCTGCAGAAAATAAGCAAATGCTAGCACGCGTGCGGTTGCCGATGTAACGTGATACGGATGAGGTGACTTCAGTGTGGTTCTGATGTATAGATACTAAGTAAAACAGCTCTCCACATTTTTTGTCGGTAACATGACAGCACTTGAGCTCATGTGCGTTAGCTCAGTGTGTTTCCGGCTTAACTCCCCTCCTTAACATTCTACATTCTACCACGGTTTTAGAAATTCTCACATTTTTTTTGATTAAGAATTAACCTATGGATTTAACGTTAAGGTTTGTTTATCGAATGCCTTTTAGGTTATTTAAATAAAAACCGTCAGACACAAATAGCACAAACTAACTGAATGTGTAAACAAAAAATTAGTTTGAGCAAATTTTGTACAGTTTGGCTTGCGTAAATCAGTTTGCGCAAATTATCGTAGAGTCTAAGTGGCCCTTAAGACAGTGATGTAGACAGCTTAATCAAAAATCAAATGTATTAAAAAGAGATAAAAGTTAGGTGGATACATTTCTTATATGCGGTATTGCCGGATTTTGTAACAAAAATTCAAACTGCACAAGTAGGTGTTTATGAAAAATGTTGCATCTAGAGTTGGAACTCTATTTTTTACAATTAGTTACTCATTTTGCTACAGCTGTAATAGATTATATTTAACTTAGATATATCTTCATTTCAGTAGTATACATGAAAGTTTTTAAAATAGTTGAGATTTTTTTCTAATTTATTTAAGGATAAGATAATAATATAGTTATAGAGGGTCGACAAGAGAAAGGTCTTGGGTCGGCGTTATCGCTATGTCGTTTTTGTAAGTTGGAGAAGAAAAATGCGAAGTTTATTACCCAACATTCCCTGCCTACACGCGTAAAAACCGGCAACACTGTATGCCGCTTTTTATTTTGTCTCTCTGTCAATCGGTTAATTATGTCTATCTCTGTCGCATGCATTAAAGTACAGACCACGGAGATTAAAGTGTCCAGAGCCGTATACAAAAGGCTATTTAGTTATTTCGCTGAGGGCAACTGTATAACTTTGAATATGTTCATACTTACTTTACTGTTTTCTCTGTAGCCATGTGGCCACAAGGGTTGAAAGCAAAAGTTGGTAATCCTGAGTCTACATAAAATGCCGGTTCCAATCCCATACAAACTTTAACAACTGGTCCCTGCTGCAAAATAAAAAAAATATTACTAACCTGCTAATGCATTAAATTAAATCTACAATTTACAATCATTACAGTCCATTTTTCTGGATGAAAATTAATTTTACAGAGTGGTCCGAACTGTACTCCGGAAATTTCAGCTGCATATTGAGCAGATAAAAATAAGTAAAACAGTTCGTCTAAATGTATGTCCTAAATTGCTTAGTTTCGGAGATACAGGGTGTGGAAGTTTCATTTTTATTTCGATTTTTTCCAAATAATTTCTGAAGTAACATCAATATTTGGATGAAAATTGGTGTCTGGGAGTTTTTTGACATGAGTAATTTGATTTTAATGTCAATATGACTCCTATTTGTAGGGGGCGCCACCTACATGTGTTTTAACTATTTTGAAGAGTAATAACTTTTCGTCCGTACCTGTATAAAACTCTTGAGTGAAAAAAAATATATATATATTTCCGTGCTTTTATAAGTAAAATATGCGCTTCTTGGTAAAAATTGCTAAGAACAACCGTTCTCAAGATATTTAGAATAAAAGTAGTCAATACATATTATTATTGACAAAAAATAAACACGCTGTAGATAAGTCGCTAAACTGAAATGAAATGATAAATTTGGGACCTTTTAATTTTTTTAAATTAATCATAAACAGTTTCTGTTGAACTTTTGACACAAAATCATTTCAAATTTATGATTCCAGTCTAATAATTATTTAGTCAACATGTTTAATTATGTCAATGATGACAGGTATTGGTAGTTTCGATTCTAAATATCTCGAGGGTAGCGATAAGAGACCTTTTTTAAAAAACGTCGTAAATGTTTATTTTTTTACTCAGTAGTTTCATACAGGTACGGACGAAAATTTATTACCTACTCTTCAAACCAATTAAAAATGTCCAAGTGGCGCCCTCTACAAGTAGAAGTCATATTGGCATCAAAATGAAATTTCTCATGTCAAAAAACTCCCAGACACCAATTTTCATCCAAATATTGAAATTAGTTCAGAAATTATTTGGAAAAAATCGAAATAAACATGAAACTTCTACACCCTGTATCTCTAAAACTAAGCATTTTAGGACATACATTTATATGAACTTTTTTACTTGAGGGGTTTCTGGCAAAAGCCCCATTAGTCAGATATTTCGAAATTTGGAAAAACTAAAAAAAACGTATATCTTGCTCCCATTTAAATTTAAATTTTGTTTTTTTTTTGTGTGAGCTCTGGTTATAATCTGATAACTAGTTTCCTTTATTTTTATCCTTTAGTTTTCCTTATCTTTTTCCTTTATTTTTCTTGATTTTTTTCTTATTTTTAAGTTAGGAAGGGCGTGAATTTGTTTGACTTGTGGGGTTTTTGTTGGAATTTTGGCAAAAACCGTGCAAACAACCAAGTCCTCTTAGCAACTGTTCGAACAATTATGAACGACAAACAACCAAACCACAACAAGCAGCGGACTAGTGGGGTTTTTGCCGTCAAGATTTGTGACTTGTGGGGTTCTTGCGGAATTACGGTATTTTTGATCGTATGCGCGGGCTGACTTATAGCACTTTTCCCGAATTCGTTTGGTAGGAACGTTATGACTAACAAATTACAGTCGGATAGCGCCATTAACTCATTTTACCCATTTTTTGATTAATGGGGTTTTTGCCAGAAACCTCTCACTTATTTTTATCTGCAGAATATGCTGCCGAAGTTTCCGGAATACAGTCCGGACCACCATGTATATCGATATTTGAAATGTTTGTGGGTAAATAACTTTGAAGAGCATGTTGTAATAATAATTACAAACATCAATTAATTGTATATAAAAAACAAAAGTCGACCAACCTCTAAACATATAGGGCACTTTCTCGCACCCGAATCCTTATCTTGGCCCCAATCGTGCAATCCCTGCACGTGTCCGCAGTTTAGGTAGACGTACGGTTGTTGCTGGTTCTCGTTGGGCGACACTCTTCTTGGTATGACGAGGGTGTTCAGTCCCACCGGGCACTGCGGTCTGCCCGCGTTTATTTCGTCTATTACTTTTTCTAAATCGTGTTTACTCTGAAAAGAATAAAAATATTCTCATAACTACAATTTCAATGAATAAATTAGACAAATGAATAATAAGGTAGCTAACAGTTTTTTTTACAAAACCAGTCCATCTTCCACTTGCACACTTCCGATTTAGCCGATCTAATAATTTGGTTTAAATAAAACTACCAATATATTCGGATAATCATTTATAATATATGCATTTATGATAATACCCGGCCAAAAACGTAAGTTCCCAAATTCCTGGGATAATAAAAGCCAGAAAATTTACGAAAATGGAAATGAATTAAGGTCGATTTTAAAAATGTTACTCTATTTCCTTTTCTCAGTCATTGCCCGGGTAATCACAGGAAATGTTGCAATACAGCAGCTATCAGCAGCTCACAACAATATAACAGCTAACATTTCCTCAATGTCTCTGACTTTCTATATTTCACCTACTGAAGAAACAGGGGACGGAAGTCGCTATATTAAAAAACCTCTGATGACAGTGATGACAGTCGTTCACGTCATTGGTCATTTCACGGTCGCACTTTGACAATTCGATTTGTTTCGCTTTGACGCATTGTATTTTGATTTGTATTTTATTCAATTAAACAGTGAAAATTAGAAAAAATGGTTAGTTGTTGCATCTCAAAAATTACGACAAATACCAAAGATGTTATTACGTTTCATCAGTAAATAAAAAATCTGAAAAAAAATCGCATCGTATAAAATCGGCATCCGGAAACGCTTCGGCGCCATATGCAACAACCAGTAGGTCTCCTGTCAATGAGCGAAACTTTCCTTCCTTTTTATTCTTTATTTATTGGTCTAAGCATTATCAGGACCGAAGCTTTATCTAACTATCCTAACCTAACCTAACCAAATCTTTATCGGAGCATTTTATCTCTTTATATATAATATCTAACTAACTTAAAAATATAAACACAAACGTGCTTTTCATGTAGAATCGAAAAAGCAAAAAATACAGGGTGTCCCGTTATTCCGTGAACATAGAACCACTACGTATTTTTGGGAGAATGAACTTATTTTGATTCCAAAAGTACGTAGTAGTTCTGTTTCCAAGGCATACTGGGACACCCTGTATGTAAACGTTCTATTTCAATAAGCACAATGACAACCATATCCGGTTAAACAGTAAGTGCTAGGAGGTGGAAACTATTTAAAAAAAAGTATCTTTCAAAATCTTTAAAACCCAAAACACACAGATTGGATTGGATCCCAGACTGGATTCCTTAATAATTTCGGAGATTAAAAAGACAAAACATTTTGTCTGTGATTTTTATATTGCCAATATTTTAACATTAGTGAAGGATCAACGGCCTGGTATTTAATGTATGGACGGTGCCCGACGCTGTATTTCTAAAAATAAACCTCGAGCCATGTAACTTTACCTTCAATAGCTACTAAAATAACTGGATATCGCTTATAATCGATATCAGTTAATTAATGTGAAATTTTGAAGTGTAGCTATAAGGTAAATATAATGTGATAATGGCAAACAACGCATAAGTGGTAATGTAGTATTGGTTGTCACGTTGTGCAATTCCATGCCTAATTTAGGTATAAAAATCCGTTATACAATTTATTTATATTTAGATCTAAATTTTCGATGATATTTTGTATAAAACTTTTGTTTTATACCATGGCTGTCTAAAATAAACCGGGGCCACAGAGGACTTTGCAATGACAATCGATAATTTTTATCAGGTCCTTTGAATAAGAAGACTAAGGAATAAGCATATCAAAAATCTTAGGTCCACCGCGATGGAACGCAAATACGGCCGACTTGAATTCCGGTTTATCAATGCCGTTCTAATTTAATTTAAAAAATCTAAAACTATGATTAGGCCAGTCGGCAAGTGCATCGATGGCGGGAGCAAATCCGGACAAGTTGGAATAGGTTTTATTTTGTTTAGTTTGGTGTCGAGAAGCACGTATTAAATTTGCACTCCCCGTAAAGCCCGGATTTGGCCGCCATCTTTGAAAAATTGGCTAAAATTCGTTTTTTTTTTTGGTCAATAACTCGATTTCTATCAACTTTAGTGCAAAATATATAGAGACCAATTAAAGAAGAGGAAAAACTCTATAAAAAACGTTGTATGGGTTTTTTTCGTGCGACCATCCAAAGTATCGAATTTTACGAAAACAAAATTATTGTTTGATATAATGTACGTGTTAGATGTATCCGGGGTCAACTGTACTTGTTTCCACACCACCTTGAGCGGCACCCCCGAGACATAAAGCCTAAAAATTTGTTTTCTACTGGTTGGCAGTAGCCTGCTGTGGCGGTCATAATGGAAGAACGCAATTTGCATTATGACCGCAATAACGGACTAAATTTTTATTGTTGCGCGACTGATGGAAAATCAAGTTTAACCGCCTTATCTCTCAGGGAGCTGCCTTGAGGTAAAGTAGGTACCCGGCACTTTTTTTTGAGTTTCATCCCATTTCCAATAGGCCTAATCCACATGGCGTCAACTTAGGTTTCTTTTAAGGTGGAAGGTTTATCAGAGTTCATTTGTTTTTTTGATGTTACTGGCTGTTCAATATAATCCTCCTGAATGTCTTCCACATCTGTATCATATTCCGGATCTGATTCATAAGGTGCAAAATATTCTTTTCGTTGATCTTTATCGAGAGGGAAATTGTACTCGTACTCATCTTCGTCTAATTTTGCCACCTCCAAACTATTGGAACATGATTTGCCCTGACAAAATGCACACATTACCGAGCAACGCAAAACTGCTTTGCGGCAACTACAAGATGTATAGCAATCTTTGGCACATTCACATGAAATCAGATTTAATAATTCTTGGGGAGCTGCATCTTGGGAAGTAGCAATGGGCATCAACCCATTTTTTGAATTTTTGCATCCCCAATCCAGAGGTGATTTTTTATTCCCATACCATAGCTGTACCTGACTGTACGTACGGAAGGAGTGCAAGAGAGCTGCGTTTTTGGTCGGTGGTAATGATGCTAGGTAAGCTTTTGGTAATAGATTTTACTTAACACTGTGGTATCTGTACTTATCTAATGAGTCGAATTTTTTGAATCCATATAGATGAAGAAGAAATCGTTCTCCAGCTTTCTCTATATCTTCTGGGGGTGCGTTTGGGTCTTTAAAAGTTTGTACAGCTGTCTGTAATAATTCTTTTTCTTTATGCAAAACTTTCATCATTTTTCCTTGTCTGTATAATGCGGATGTAGTGTCGCAGCCACTAAATACGTGGAGAAATAAAATGTTGTCCATAACTGAAGCATCTAGATTCATATTATGGGGTGCATACGTTCCACTTTGCGACTTCCTCTTAACACAAGTTCTTTCTGCAACCAATAACAGACGACTACTATTTAATTGTGTCCAGCAGTCGAGCAGCGATCGACATGACCTTGAGTAAAAGATTCCGCTTAACAACAGGAGTAAGGTTCTCGGAAAGACAAAAACTGCCTAGAATAGAGGAAATAATAACTGCTTATAATATATTTAGTGTGTTTAAACCGAGATAACTTGGAAACGGTCGTCGCACGAAAAAAGTACATAGAACGTTTTTATAGAGTTTTTCCTCTTCTTTAATTTTGGTCTGTACATTTTTTGTACTAAAGTAGATAGAAATCGAATTATTACCAAATAATGAAAAATAAACCGAATTTTAGCCACTTTTTCTAAGATGGCGACCAAATCCGGGCTTTGTGGGTGGTGCAAATTTAACACATAGTTCCTTACACTAAACTACACAAAATAAAATTTATTCTAGCTTGTCCGGATTTGCTCCCGCCATAAGCTATGTTTTAATACTTGGCGACTGGCCTAGATGTAGGGTAGACGTGGGGTAGACTCAAGGATATATAGAAGAAGGATATTCAACTCCCTATAGCGGGCTATGTAGGAAAATATGCCGTATTTTGTCGAGGAAGACGATTACGTCACGACCAATGAGCGTCGAGTATTTGAAATTGAAAACATATAAATTGACGGTAACCTATGTTTTTGACTCATTTCACTGACAGACGTAATGATTATTATTGTAATTTATAGATCCAAACGTTTTTGAAAAAAATAATGTATTTTAAAGTTATTTCCTAAGTTTGGTTTGGCCTTCTATATTTTGGTATTTGTCTACTAATAAATAATATCTTATTTTGTATTTCGATGTATGGAAATCCATAAGTTTTGTATCTGAAGCCGCAAAGAAATTTCGCTCTATAGTGAGAAAAATGTTATTATATCTTTTTAGACGTGTAGAATTACAAAATTTCTTATTTCAGATGTTCTAAATGTGAGTGCATGTCAAAAATTTAAATATATACTTGAAATATTTCATGTTATATGCTTTGACATTTTTTGGAAGTAAACAAATATTGAAGAAAGTGTTGTGCCTTCACAGAATTTAAATTGGCATTAGGAATAGATTTCCTTGATTTAGTAACGATATTGCTCATAGAAATTGATAATGTGAAGAATAACAATACAGGAACATAGAATAACAAGAAAGAAATTCTAGCAGCAAGTTAGGTTATGAGATAAATTTTATTTATATACCTAGTTTGTTTAAAGAGTTTAGTTTGAAAAAAAGGTAAAACAATTATTATTCTCCAGGTCATTTGATAACTGTTGTTAATTGATAACATATTACAGGGACACAGTAAAAAGACAAAACATTTAGACCCTTTGAAAGAGAAATGTTTGCAATGGATATTAATAAATTCTAGCCAATTTGTATGATGTACAATGCAGGCAATATTTCTGCCTCTTAATGCACTATTCGCGTAAAAGAAGATGTGGGTATTGTATTTATAGGTAGTTAATGATATATGGAATATATTTCTATATTATTGCAATAACGATGTCTTTATGTTGTATTTTTTTAGAACAGATTTATTATTAGTTGGCTAGTGTGTTAGTAGGATAGCCATTAGTAGTTATAAAGTATGAAGTCGTCAGGTATTAATAATAGGAATTGATCAAAGCTTATACATTTATTGTGATATTTATATTGTGAATTTAAGTAGTTAGTTTTGGTTGTTTAATAAACGAATTAATATGCTTATTGTGTGTCTAATTAAAAGAACAATGAAAAGTTGAATACCATAGGGGTACGTATGTTATACAAAGAATTTGCATTAACATTTTTTTGGTTATATACTTGTACTGATGTTTGTTTCTTGAACTAAAGAATTATGCTATTGGTAGGTAGCTATTGGTAATTAAATTTTTTATCTAATATAATATCTAACATCAGAAATATTGTTAATTATCACTATAAACAACTAAGAACTAGAATTATCAACTATAAACAAAATATAATATATGTATCTTAAGCAATATGTAATTATTTAACAATTATTTTTTTTGGGAAATAAAAACTGGTACTAAATTCTTTTTGACTATTTAATTTCTAAGTCACAAATAATGGTGGACAAATAGCAAGAAAATTATACAAGTAAAACATAATTTTAACTTATTTCTCTAATGGAATTTTGGTATTGATCTACTTAGTAGGATATGCAGTTTATCATATTTTTGAATATTTATATTCAATATTGTTCAGGAACAGCCCAATTACTCTGAAAAAAAAATATATGGTCAAATTCTTTGAAAAGAAACTTTTAAAATCAGTAATGATAAAAAAATATATAATTGTTGTATAGCAGAACCAGGGGACACAGAATTAGGGGAATTAACAATAGATTATTAAAAACTGCCTTCTCTTAAAAAAGTAGTATTATATGCACTTAGAAAGACTATAAAGGATAAAGTACACATAGAAAGAAAGTAAAGAGTATCTATATATATATGTAGCATATGTATATAACATATATATGCTCATATATATATATATATATATATATATATATATACTATATATATATATATATATATATATATCTATACTACTGATATATATATATAACTATATATGAATACGATACCTACAGTATACAATATTATTAGTATAAAAATAACAGCACAGTCGGCACACTTTAAAATAAAAAAGCAGCATAATATTCAGGTATGTATAAAAGTAAAATTTTCTCAAAAATATTAGAATATGAAATAAATTGCAACTAAATTTTAATTAATAAACATAAACAAATAAAATTGTCAGTGTTATTAAAACTTTATGTAAATATATGTTACCTTAATACTTTGTCTTTAATCCTACTCTTCTGACATGGCTTTTCAAACTTATGCCCAAATCTCAATTCTTGTTATTAAGAATAATATTTATGAACTTTTGTTTCCATATTAATTTCAATATATTTGAATAAAACTGGAAAAATAATCAATATTGGCACTTGAAATTTTAACTTCTTATGTCCTTAAATTATTTATATTGTGTTATACATAATACTTACATAAATATTCAATTTAAAAATAGATCAGCACTTGAACGAGTGAATATAAAATAGTATATTATCAATTTCTATGAGCAATATTATTACTAAATCAAGGAAATCTATTCCTAATGCCAATTTAAATTCTGTGAAGGCACAACACTTTCTTCAATATTTGTTTACTTCCAAAGGGCAAAGGGTATAACTTGAAATATTTCAAGTATATATTTTAATTTTTGACATTAAGCACTCACATTTAGAACATCTGAAATAGAAATTTTGTTATTCTACGCGTCTAAAAAAAGATATAATATTTTTCTCACTATAGAGCGATTTCTTTGCGGCTTCAACAAAACTGTGATTTCCATACATCGAAATACAAAATAAGATATTATTTATTAGTAGACAAATACCAGAATATAGAAGGCCAAACCAAACCTCTAGGAAATAACTTTAAAATAAATTATTTATTCAAAAAACGTTTGGATTTTGGATCTATAAATTACAATAATAATCTCATCACGTCTGTCAGTGAAATGAGTCAAAAAACATAGGTTACCGTCAATTTATATGTTTTCAATTTCAAATACTCGACGCCCATTGGTCGTGACGAAATCGTCTTCCTCGACAAAATACGGCACGTTTTTTTTGGGCCAGTCGAATATCCTTATTCTATATATCCTTGGGTAGACTCAATAATTTTTTTTTTATTTTACGTTGTAAATAAATGTTGGTAGTTATTACAATAATTGTTATAAAAGCATATTATTATAATAAAAATAGATAATTTTTAATAATTATTTATTAACACAAACATCCGATACGCTACTGAAGCAGGTAAGTCAAACTGACGTAACTAAATTCTTTGACATCTAATCTTTGACAAGTAGTAAATAAAAGCAAAAATGTACAAGAAAAAATATATAATTAGTTAATTTAAGTAGTATGAACATTATATAGTCACTTACTAGCGAAAAGTTGTTCCATTATTTCACCTGATTTTTGCCGAGATCTACCGCACGCTACACAACCAACTATTTTAGAGTCGTTTTCGATAAATCGCGATAGTGTCACTGTTAATTTAAGTTCTGCCACAATTTCCATCTACATTTACTACCTTTATACAACTATCATTAGTAGAATAAATAATAAATAACATAAAATAAGCTCCGTAAAGACTGACAAATCCACAAAATTTCAAATCAAATTAAAAAGTGTCAAATGAATCGTCAAACAGAACTGTCAAGGATCCCCACACTAGAGTCCTTTTTCCGCCCACCATGCATGAATACATGGATAGCATTATGCTCCTTCTTTAGTCTTCTTATTCAAAGATCAGGTCGATCAATATAATACGTCGTTCATTAAAAACTGACATACAATTTGTCAAATATTGATTTAAAAAAAAGTCAAAAGTTCCAATCTATTAATTTTTTTAACCCTTTTGGGATGGACGCTTCCCCGGAAAAAAACTGATGAGCGGGAGATTTTTGCAGTGCCATAAGAAATCATTGAGTTGATCGTCCCCAACGCACTTTTTTCACACGTTCCGACAGCCGTCCCGAAAGGGTTAAACGTCACAAAAGTATTAATTTTTGCGACGTGATTGATAATATAAAAAAGTTATTTTAACGCTTAAGCTTGATTTTCATGCATCCGTTGTCCGACGATACATTGATACGATATTAATTTTATTGGTAGAATTTAAAGACTTTGATTCGTTATAAAATAACGCAGTTTTTAAATTTGTTGCATTTTCATGTTCCTCCATTTATCGGATATACATACGTTGGTGTCATTTTATATTTTCGTTTCCATAACGATTTTGCTATTTTACTTATATTTTTATAATTAGGTTAGATTAAATTTTTCAAAAAAGTGTCAAAACATCCGTCTGTTGACGGGCTGAAGTAAAATATTTATGGATGAAAAGTGGCGCGAAAACGCTATGACCAATCAGAGCACCGTCGCGTCGGACCATCGTATCAACGTATAACGGATGCATGAAAATCAAGCTTTAGGCATAAAAGTAAAGCACTTTTTTGCCTAAGCACAAAAGTAGAAAAATACGCTAATCGCAAAACATTTTCCGATGTACGACGTCATCAATCATATCGAAATTGGCACTAAAGCCTATAAACCTGACTAAAGGAAATTTTGGCAAAAATGTTTAAATTTGATGTATAATTTAAGATATCGAGCAGCTCTTCATTTTACTTTGTAGAGCAAATGATTGTAACAGATATTTTATTTAGATTAAAGCTGCAAAAAATAGTTTAAAGCGATTTTTATTATCGCCATGTTCGTCACATTGCGCCGCGATCAGTAACGTTGTCGTTTATTATTTGACAATTATCATGTCAGTCATTATTTTATATAATCGTGTTGTCGTTGAATCTTTGGGTTCTCGTTTTTTTTTTGAGTCCGTTCTTTTTAAACAGTCGAAGCAAAGAGCTTGTAGCTTCCCTGATAAACTATTTTGAACGAGAACATGACAATAAAGGTCCTTTATTACTCTTGACTGCAGTCAGAGAAGTAAGTTTGGTTGGTAAGCACATTATACCACTTTTAAGCTATTTCTACTTATTTCGATTTGTAGCGAGGAGCTTCTACCTTAAATTTAAATATTTGTACTGTGAGTGTTAGTGACTACTGTTAATAAATACATTAATTACTAAAATATTAATTATTAAATTAAAAATGAAACGTAAAAATCTTAAAAGAATGATAATAAATATATTGTTTCCCAATTTTACATTAAGATTCATCTCATAAATCCACCACAATCTGACAGCGCTGTCAACATCGCTTGTCATTCACAGTTGATCGTGCATCGGAAATTGTTTTGCGACTACTTTATGTTATTAAACTGACATCATCAAGTGTCAACGGATCATCCGCCCCCATGTGAAAATATTCATATAAACTCATGGTACTTGTTCAACCAACGGACGGTCAGCTGCATGAGAAACGGCATAAAAGGGACGGTTTGCATAGACGATCCGCTCCATGTGAAACAGCACTTACAGTTAGTATTATTCATGCTACTTACAGGTGTTTTTTCTAAACCTTCAGCTGATCTCCATAAGAGTGTCGCCCCACATAGATCTATTAAAGTACCATCCTGTAATACATTTGTTACATCTTCGACCTGTAATATAAATAAAATAAATATTTAATACTAACAACAGGAGTGCCTTGTTTTACGCGACTTCACTTATAGGCTTGGTGCATTCTCCGCCGGTGCTGCTACCGCCCGAGAATATCGTAAATAACGAATACATACAAATACACGGGTTTAAATGGCGAGTAAACGAAAAAATTAGTATATAATTATTGTATTAAGCGTTAGAAAGTATAATTTGTGGAAATTCTAAATAAAAAGGTAAATATTTTGATATCTTCAGAAGGTCTAACTTGCATTATAATTTATTATTCCAGTTAAAAAAAATTAGATGAGTTCAACTACGATAGCGAGCATAGTTTTATCACCGGTTTTGCTAGTGGGGCATAATTGGAGCTATTTTGGCTATGACGAAATTTTTTAAAGGTATATAATTATAATTTTAGAAGAAGTTCATAAAACATTTAATCGCTAGTTGGTTAAAAAAGTATACCATTAATATTGCAAATTATATTTGAGAGGCTGATAGCAAAAGTGGGTTAAAATTTTACTCTCGGCAAAAACGGTTTGCGTTTTTCAGAGGGCAAAAGCGGTTTAAGTAGCAATGAGAGCAAAAATGAGAGAAAGAAACTTTACCGTAAAAATGGGTTATAATTATATGCCACTTTTACTCTAAGATTAAAAATATTCCTTTTTTGTCCGAAGAAAAAATCGTTAATTTACTATTAGATAAAAAAATCTGTTTGCGTATTTGCCAGTCAGTTTATTCATGTTCCTCTAGTTTTCTATACAAAAATAACATTTGCACCATATGCAACAAGTAGTGTAAAAATCAACTTTTTATAAGCTTTTATTTAACTTGCTTTGTATGTATGTTTGTTCGGGGCAAATCTTGTAAGCTAAATTAGAACCACTTCCTTTGATTGTAGGAAATTATACATTTTTTACAAGGCATGACCAGAATTTTTGACAGCTGTTAAAATGGCGGCCAAAATGGCGCCATTTTGAGGTTTTTGATTTTTAAAATTCTATTATAAAAAATTTATTATAATATAGGTATATTGTGGGTATATACATATGAAAAAAAATATGTGGGCGGCTATCTTGAAAAAATGACAGTTTAATGACATGTCAAAATTTCGAAGTGAACCGATTTTGATAAAAATCGACATAATATATATATATATATATATATATATATATATATATATATATATATATATATATATATATATATATATATATATATATATATATATATATATATATATATATATATATATATATATAGGATGGCCATGGGCTAAAATGAAAGAAGAAAATTCAGGCTGTCAGAATTGACAGCTGTCCAAAAATTCAAAGTTGTCCGATTTTGATAAAAATCGATATATTGGATGCCCCCCTACCCCATAGTCGGTTTTCGTTTTATTTGTCTCACATTTGAACTGTCAAATTTGACAGCTGTCGTTTTTTTAAGTTCTCCTTTGTTAATGAAAATCGATATACATATTATTAGATGCCCATAGAAAGTTATTTAAGAAAAACCAGCATAACTAAAAAGTAAAAAATAAATTTTAAGAAAAAGAACTTTTTAAAAACAAGCTTTTATTTAAATACACAAAAAGAAAAAAAACTTTTTCTTTAAAATTTTTATTATGAACTTTATAACGTCATTACATAATTTTAATATTATATTAAATCTTGTCGCGAGATTTGAGTGTACAATTGCACTCATAAAAATCTGGTACGACAACTTTACTTTAAGTATATACAATATACATGACAATCTAAAACCTGTGTCTACCCTGTCTCATTTTGAAAGTTTGTCTTATGATCCACCACTAGAAAAGGAATTACAAGATAAAGTTGTCGTACAACTGTACACTCAAATCTCGCTACAAGCTTTTATATAATATAAAATTATGTAATGACGTTATAAAAGTTCATAATAAAATTTTAAAGATTTTTTTTCCTTTTAGTGTATTTAAATTGCTAAGGGCATAAAATCAGTTCTATGAATTGATTTTACAACGTTAATAGCTGGGGGGTAGGGTGGGGGGGCGTTGTGACTCCGCCCCATAAAAAGTATAAAAATATTATATATGCATGTTTTCACGAGTTATTGCAAAAAATTAGTTCGGTATGAATATTTTCTAACTTTTATTGACATAATATGTTTAATATAGTCCAAGAAAATAGGCCTTCAAATACGAAGTTTTGGGAAAAACTTGAATTTTTGATATAAGTTACTTTGGAAGATCTAAAAACGAATTGTGAAAGGGGAGTAATTTAATTTTTCTATGAAATATATTTTTCTTCAAATGGCATCGGCGGCGTGTGTGATATCAAAGCGCGTGCCGAAGTCAAAAAGGTGCCGACCAGATATAAACTAAACAAGTTATATTCGGAAGTGCACATCTAGACAATGGAAATAATTTTGTATAATTATATTCTTCACTTTTGAAAATTTCCGAGCCGTTAGGCTTTATATTTTCCTATAACTAAAATACTGTGTTTTGTAATATCAAACTCATTATCTTATAGGTATAAAAATGTGTGTGAAACACAAAAAAATTATATAAACAGCAGTACAGCAGTGCTAAATATATAGAAGCAAAAAAATATAAATAATTACTATATCAATAGGTATATACCGTATGATAAAAAAAACGGCATCCAGTTGGCTTGGAAATAAACATCAATGACATTCCCCATATAATTTTACATATAAAATGACAGCGAACTTCATTTCATAGTCATCGCTGACGCCGTTCTTTTTTCGGTCATATTGTATCTTTTAAAAAGATTTAAATCTTTTTTAAAATAACTTAAGTCGTTAAAAAGATTTAAGTATTTTAAGTCATCTTTCGAAATAAATGAAATGACTTAAGTCATTTGATTTATCGACTTAAAATCAAATGACTTATGTCACTAAAATGATTTAAGTCAAAAAAAGACTTAAGTTTTCTGTGAGCTTGCAGCTCTGCTAGAGATGCTTTGCCATACTGAACAACACCATAGTCAAGAAAGATAAACAACACACTAAAATAGGTGCAAAAACACGAAATAAAATTTAGTATGAAGTGCAGTTTTACACGGAGCGGAGCATTCGCTCAAACTGTCCGCGCTGATCGTCCCTGTTGTGCCGTTTCACATGGAGCGGGCCGTCCGGCGTCCGCGCCGACCGTCCGTTTATTGAAGAGGTACTATGAGCTTGTATGAGTATTTTGACATGGGCGCGGATGGTCCGCCCGTATGATTTCGTCCAACAGCCATCCGTCGATCCCTTGCTTCGACGGATCATCCGCCTATGTGAAAGTGTGTGTATTCATACATTCAATACTCATGGTACTTGTTCAACCAATGGGCGATCTACAGGTGAAAGTACTCCATCAATTCTTAAAATACACACAATGGTCCACGATGGTCCGCACGTCCGCTCCATGTGAAACAGCACTCAATACTCAATAGTATTATAAAACGTCCCTTCGATAGTACATAAATACGGCAGCGCGCAGAGGTAAAAAGAACCATTTTCTTATCGTCTATCGAATCTACGTATTATTTTCTTAGCGCAAAAACGGGTTAATATTTTATAGCTTTTTTGCCCTGAATATTTTGTCGAACCATTTTTGCGCTGATTAATATTCGATTCACTTTTGCCCAAAGTTGTGATGTATATGCTATTTTTGCTCTTAGAGAAAATTTAAACCCACTTTTGCTTTGAACAAAATTTTATCCCACTCTTACTTTCGACCTCTCATTTCATCCTCTCATAGTATAACGAGCACTTTGTTTACTCACTTGCTTCGTTAAAATGTTGTTTCGGGAGAGTTGAATATCCGGGAAAGTAGAGTTATTGAATGTTATTGCACCCAACAACGCCCTAATTACGCTCTCCTTTACGCGTTAACATTTTTTTAGGCAAATTTATTAACATTTGAAATTGTCACAACACAACACGACGCCTAGTTCGAATTCTTTTTCACTTATTTTTTACTACCCGAAACAGCGTTACATCACACCAAACCAAACCAAACTTCGTACCTGAGTGTTTTATAGTACCAATAACTGCACTAGCAAAAAACTAAAATAGTTAAATATTATGACAAAACCCCGATTTCAATATTATTTTAATGCGATCGACATGACGGCGGCGTGAACTATATATTGATAATTTCTGATTTCTGCCGTAGAGTGCGCTGCTGTCGGAATTTGTTGAAATCAACTGAAATGCACCAAGCCTATACGCGCTTTTATTACTTCCATATTAGATAGGATTTTTTTTATGTACGTAATTCAATACGAGAACAGGTCAACGAGTTTTCTACTTGCAACAAAGGATAATCCTAACATAGATATTGACTACACATGGCCAGAAATTGTTCCGCGCGCAAACAACATCGATATTTAGTTTGCATTACTAGTATTATACCGTTTTTCGGTATTCAACAGTCGGTATTCTATCAGGAAATACCATGAAAACTTTGAAAAGGTCAAATATTATCTCCCCAGATTATTTTATGCAACAGTCGTATTAGACTTTTATGAAGAGGCGTTAAAGTTGTACTTTATTCTAGAATTTCGTTTTATTTGAAATAGGCATTTAAATGCTATTTGCAAACGTCTACCTTCAAATTACTAAAAAATTATAATACGGCCCAGAGAAATTTAGAATACCAACAAAAAATACGATTTTGTCATTGTCAAATTCGATGTCACATTTTCTTTACAAGAATTTGTAGTTTGGAAGTATAATAATCTTAGTCTTTAAATAGATAAAGAAAACAAGTTTAGATTGAAATGCTCAGCTTGCCGCCAAAACTTATAATTGTTTTGAAGCGCATACGTTGTAGGGCGCTGCTATAGCGGTTGCTAAGAACAACCGCAAGACAACCATCAAGAACAGAAATAATTTTCTCTTATCAAAGTCAGAATCTTCAAAAATTATAAAATCTTTCAAAATTTAAACCACCCTCATTGAAAAAATACCGAAAAATGTTTAATGCGTCCATTTTCAAAGTAATTATTGCTATCTTGTGAGTTCTTAAATTTTATTCACTCAAATCCGTGATAATTGTGAAAAAATGGCATTACAAACTTAAAAAGCTGTGTTAACTGTGAACTGCAAAAACCATCGTGGATCGTGGCATAACGTCGGTTTCCCATGATTCATTGGGAGTTTCATACATGTCCTTATATAAAAATAAAGTTTCTTTATGCAACACACTGTATTTTATTTAAAAAATTAAAAGATAATAAAAAATTAAAAGATAATAATAAATTTGAATAAATAATATTTGGCGACATAATTCCGGAAAAGCAGAATCGCTCAGAAATTATCAAAAGCTTTGGAGAGCGACCGTTGTAAGAATAGCGCCAAATAGTATTTACATTGTCCTTATGGGCAGTGTCCAATCTAAACTTGTTTCTTTTATCTATGGTTTGGAAAGGGTGGTTAATTATTTTCCGAATTGGAATAATCATCTACAAAGGAAGTAGTTAAACTGAGAATAGTATTCGGCGGAGTATTCTGTTTGCTGTTCGTTACTTAATCACTCTCGTGGCCGCGCTACATACCACACAGCAGGGTTGGCATGATTTAAATCGTGATTTAAATAAAAAAAAAATTATTGAAACTTAATAAATCAAAAAATAACTGTAAAAGTTATAAAAATGTGTCCTAGAGAACTAGAAAAAATATTTCTATAACAGATATAACAGATAATAAATCGAAAAATAATTGTAAATGTTATAAAACTATATAAAAATATCTATACTACATCAATTTAAATGTTGGACCGATTTTTTAAACAGGGATTTATTTTAAAATTTATGTATAAGTGACAAAAATTCGCTGTTCGAATACATATTGTTGCGGACCGGTGTGGACTCGACCTAACCTAACTATATGGCCCGCCCTCGGATGACCTTAACATAGCATTAAAGAATAGACACCGTAATGATTCATTCGAAGATTCGAGAAGCATCGAATTCTACTGGAATGGAGTAGTACATACGAGAACAATCGAAACCTTCTCTATGCACCTAACGATCTATGGACTATTCTAGAGACCTTTAGCAGTAGGTATAAAAGCCGGCGTCTGTGGCCTAAAGAGGGCAGTTATAAATAGACAAGTACAGTTGACCCGCTAAAATTCAAAATAAATTCTTAGTTATAAATCGTTTGTAAATAGTTCTATAAGTCTTTTATCGTTATTGTTTTTGTTAATTAGTGTTAAATAAATAGTGTTTAAATAAATTGTGACTTTCTATCCACACGGAACCGACGAAAAACGTAACAATATCATTCGCAAAGGCTAGTGCAGAACTAGGTTCTTCTGATGTAGAGACTATATCTTCATTCCCGATAATCTAATCGTTTTGTCAGAAAATGTGTTGTTTTATATTTTTTTGGAACGGTTGTATGTTTCTAAATTCCTACCGACATGACCATTTTGTTCTGCAGTAAGTACTTTACACTTTTTTTTATTATTAGAGTTAGATTGAATTATTAGAATTATTAGAGTTAGTTCAGAAATAGTCTTAAGACTATTTCTGAACAATAATAGTGTATTGTTTTATTAGGAGTAAAAATTATACTTTTTTGACGATGCTCTTTGAAGGACCATCGTAAAGCTATTCCAACGTTACAGGGAAGCACAAAAAGTACGTTTTTATTCCGAATAGAACATACTATTTCTTTTAAAACATTACAAATAATTTTTTAATCAATTTCAAACATTGCAAATAATATGAACAGTAATCGAGTAACAATGTGTACACTCGTTGAATTTGACACTTAATATCAGTTTAATAATATATTTTTGTACTTTTATGTTTAGGCGTAACAGTGCTTTACTTTTATGCTTAGATGTTAAAATGACAAAAGTTAATATTTTTGAGATATTTGAAAAAAAAATCCTTTTGATCTGAAGCGAGCGACTTTTTTTGCGGAATATATTGGAGACCGATATGGAAAAATGACAACACGCCGTAGATGTTATTGGTATCGGGAAGAATTATAAAGATTTAGCCATTTAAGACAGGACTTTAACTGGAAATAAGTCCTAGTCGTTTGGAAATCCCATTTAAATATTGTTTTGAACTAAAATCAAAAAAATCTGATTTAAATAAAAAAAATCTAATTTTTTTGATTTTTTTAAAAAAATCATGATTTTTTCCAACCCTGCCACATAGTATGTAAAAAACGTATTACGTTCTAATCTAACATACAATAATTTAAGAAATAATCGAAATATTTGTAACTAAAGGAACTTTTATTAAACAACTATACTAAAGAATAAAATACCCCAAATGATTACCCCAAAATTTACGCCTCATAACTCACAATACAAAACTGTTAAGGGGAGTGTTGCATTCCACAGAGATGGCGTTTGAAGATAATCTAAATTTCTCTATTTAATATACTCATAAAGACGGTTTTTGAGTGTGTTCTACAGGAAGAAGTCGTGGTCTGCGAAAAACCAGCAGACCTGGCAGGCCAATTACTTCTTGTAATAGCTAATGATCTTAAGCGTCCGAAGAATAATGCTGTGTTTTCCTACTATCTCCGCAATAGACGAGAGTCAATGTTTTTCTTTTCTTCAGCATGAAGAATAATATCCAAATCATTTGTTTTCGTCTTGTTCATTATTTTTATTTTCGCACTTCCATGCGCTTAATACTTAATATCGAACCTTTAGTTTCATACCTGTTATAGGATTATTCTTTAAACTGTTGACTTATTCGATACTGAGCTGCGAACGTATCTCACATAGCGGGGATACTATTTCCAGCAAAATGCCATTTAACCATCGTAACTTTTTCGGAAGTTGTGAAAATCATATTTTATAGAAAATTACTCTATAGGCTTAGAAAGATATATCTATCTATAGGCTTGGAAAGACCTCTACAGGAGTTGATTTCAAAATATTCCGACCGCGGCGCTGTATACGGCAGAAATCAGAAACTTTCGTTATGTATTTCACGCCGTCCCGGTTACAGTTCATGTTGATCGCATTAAAATAATATCGAAATCGTGGCATTGTCATAATATTTAAGTATTTTAGTTTTTTGCTAGTGCGGTTATTGAGACCATAAAACACTCAGGTACACGAGGTTTGTGTGATGTAACGCTGTTTCGGGTACTGAAAAAGAATTCAAACTAGCCGTCGTGTGACAATTTCAAATGTTAATCTTTTATTACGGCACTTTTTGCCGAAAAAATGTTAACGCGTAAAGGAGAGCGTAATTAGGGCGTTTTTGGGTGCATAACACTCAATAACTCAACCTTTCCCGGATATTCAACTCTCCCGAAACATTTTATAGATTCATAATTTCTCACACCGATTTGATCAAAAGCAAAAATGGATTCAAGCAGTTTGACGAAACAACGAAGTAAACAAAGTGCTCGTTACATAATCAAAAAATTAAATAGACATACATATACTATGAGAGGGTAAAATATAATTTGCAAAAGTAATGGTATAGTGATTAAATGTTTTATAGACATCTTCTAAAATTATAATTATGTACCTTTAAAAATTTCGTTATAGCCTAAATAGCACCAGTTATGACACCACTAGCAAAACCGGTGATTAAAACTATGCTCGCTACCGTAGTTGAACTCATCTAAAAAGTTTTTTACCTGGAAAAATAAATTATAGGCTGTACTTAAAATGCCGTTAAACTGTAGCTTACTAAAATGCCGTTAATAGGTATGACATCGTTGATGTGACGTACTTGACGGCTTTATGAAATATAGGAATTTTATAAGGACTAACCAACGCTATCCACCCCACCAAATAACCAACTTAACCAACGCAACTAACCTCGACACTGATAAAAAAATATAAAAACAAATATAAATTAGTAAAAACGAACCAACCCCACCAAATAACCAACTAACCAATGAATTAACACCATCCAAATAACCACGCTAACCAACCCGCCAAATAACTAAACCAATCCAACTAAAAACAGTGAAACCAATGCAATAAGATCACGCTATAAGCAAAAAAAAATATAAAAAAGTCTTGGTCGGCGTGAGATTTGAACCACGGACCATTCGCTTACGAAGCGATAGCCTCAGCCACGGAGCCACAGGTGCTCTTGCAAAATGCTTATAGATAGGCATTACTTTCCGCCGACATGAACGACGTCACAATATCTATTAACGGCATTTTAGTAGGCTACCGTTTAACGGCTGTTTAAGTACATCGTAAATTATAATACAAGTTAGAACTTCTGAAGATATCAAAATATTTACTTTTTTATTTCTATTTTAAGAATTTTTACATATTATACTTCCTAATACTTTTAGAATAATTATATGATAAATTTTTTAATATGATAAAAAAAAATTATAAAATTAATTGTATACTAGCTATTTAAACCCATGTATTTATATATAGGTACTAGTTGTTTACGATATTCTCCGATGGTGGCGATCGAATTTCACAATGACAAAATCGTATTTTGGCTGGTATTTTAATTGTAGCTTTCTCAGGGCCGTATTATAAATTTTGCTAATTTGATAGTAGATTCATGCAAACATTTAAATGCCGATTCCAAATGAAACGAAATTATAGACGAAAGTATAACGCCTCTTCAAAAAAGTCTAATACAACTTTTGCGTAAAATTATCTGGGGAGATATTTGACCTTTTCAAAATTAGAAAAAAAACACGGTATATCGAAATCCTAAATATATCCATATCTTACCATTTGTCCCCTTTGTTGAGCCGATCTGGATTCTCGCTTGGTGAAAATGCCACCCCCCACCGACGTTTCCAGCCACACTCCGCACTTGGCCTCTCCCCCGCAGAAACCGCCGCTCGGGTGCATTATTAACACCCCGTTCGTCGTCTGGCCGTCGATTTCTCGGCCGTTCTCCTGCCATTTACACGCTTTTTCCTGCACCATAAAAAGAAATTGAACACACATCTACTCCAGTTCGGAGAAAGAAAAAATTGGATTGTCGCAAACCGGTACACACGATACAATAATTAAGATAAAGGCAATGGTAATCAAACTACACAATTTTAATATTGTAGATATAGACCCTTGGACAAAAGTAAAGCAACCTTTCTAATACAGTTAAATATTTAAATATACAGTATGTCCCCGGATTGTCTTTACAAGAGGAAAAACTTTTTTATTGACATTTTGAGAAAAATTTCATGTTCATTAAAATTTTTGCTTGTTGTGTTATGGTTAATACCGTTTATACTTTTCCAAATTTCCATACCGTTTTAGAGAAAATTAACATGAAAATCCTAAGACTCAAAACGCGTTTCTATGGTAATAAAATTTCGATTTCATTCTTTGATAGATTGTTATTAATAGATTTAATTAATGTTATATTTTTTGCTATTATAAAATGTTAAAGAAGCACAACATTTATTTAGTTCATTGCTACGAATAGTTATCGGAAAATGTGATACTTTAACAACCGCAAAAAATATGACGTTAATCAAAATGATAAATAACCATCTATCAAAGAATGAAATCTATACTAATATATAAAATCCTTAAGTGACTGACATACTGATTAATCACGATCCTGCTCAAACCACTCAACGTAAGAAGCTCAATTTTGGCATACAGGTTGATTCTAGGGTGTAGAGGTTCGATAAGAAGGAATTTTTCGAAATTCCAGTTCCAAGAGGGTGAAACCACCCCTCAAATATTACAATATTTTTATTTAAAAAACGGTCAAGTTTCCGAAAAAACGCTTAAACACGTATATTTTATTTTGTTTTTTTTTATATATTTTAAGATTTTTTAAAAATGTATACAGGTTGTTTCGAAAAATCTGGTCATTGATTAATCACGATCCTACTTAAAGCGCTTGACGTAAAAAGCTGATTTTTGGAAAACAGATTGACTTTAGGGTGTAGAGGTTCGATAAGAAGGGATTTTTCGAAACTCGAATTCTAAAGGGGGTGGAACTATCCCTCAAATATTAAAATATTTTTTTGTTTAAAAACCGGTGAGTTTTTCGGAAAAACCGGTGAGTTTTTCGGAAAAACTCATTTAAAAGCTGATTTTTGGAAAACGGATTGAGTTTAGGGTGTAGAGGTTCGATAAGAAGGGATTTTCGAAATTCTAAGGGGGTGAAACTATCCCTCAAATATTAAAATATTTTTTGTTTAAAAACCGGCGAGTTTTTCGGAAAAACTCTTAAACACGTATATTTTATTTTGTTGTTTTACATATTTTAAGATTTTTTATAAATTTATACAGGGTATTTCATAAAATATAACCACTGAGTAATCACGATTCTGCTTAAACTGCTTGACGTTTAAAGCTGATTTTTGGCAAATGGATGTGGGGTGTAGAGAGGTTCGATGAGGAGGGGTTTCTCGAATCTTAAATTCCAAGAGGGTGAAAACACCCCTCAAATATTACAATATTTGTTATTTAAAAAACGGTTAGTCTTTCGGGAAAACGCTTGGACAAGCATAATGTATTTGTTTTTTTTTACATATTTTGAAATTTTTTAAAAAATCGTACAGATTGTTCCAAAAAGTTGGCTAATTTCTTAACCATGATACTGCTTAAACTACTTGACGTAAAAAGCTTATTTTTGGAAAACGGATTTTTCGAAAGTAAAATTCCAACAAGATGAAACTACCCCTCAAATATTACCAAGTTATATAATAATATCGCCAAATTGTATTTTTCTCATGCTGATATAAATGTGAGAACATTTTATCCAGTTTGTATGTTAATGGAAATTCTTGCTTTGCTTTATCATCACCATTACAAATGATTAATTCGACGCGAAAGAAGTCGCTGGTACACGCTCGTCGAAATTATATTACCATAGAAACGTCTTTAAATTTTTAGGATCTCAGAAAATTCAACTATACTTTCATGTTTTTTGTTTAATTTTCTCTAAAACGATATGAAAAAAGGATAAACGGAATTTGCCATTTTAGAACCAGTAAAAATTTTTATGAAGAATGCATTTTTCTCAAAACGTTAATACAAAAGTTTTTCCTCTTGTAAAGACAATCCGGGGACATACTGTATATGGGTCCGGTGAACTATCCAGAGGCACAATTTTTGCATTTCACTTTTTTTGATCAAAAAGTGGCTATTTTTAATAAAAAAGTAATTTTAAATAAGAAAAACGGCAAATTTTGCAACGAATTTCAAAATATTTTAATTTAATTTTGGTACTATTTGAATACATTTTTGACATTACAGCGCAATTTAACATAAAAACTATTTTTTACGTGTAACTTTTTTAAGCTTGCACTTAAACAAAAATCCTTAAGGTTTTTATTAGGAGCTACAGATGTCCGACGAACTATTTCCGGATCCTGTACAGTGTGTCCCATTTTGGTTGAAATCATACGGTATCTGCGTTACTAATGAAGATAGAAGGATGCGGTTTGCACTAACCTGTCCCACTTTTTTGTCAAACGGACGATGCTGTAAACAAAATTTGCATAGCCCTTTTCGTTTCTAAGCTACACAGGATCTTTATGGACATTTTTAATTTGGGACACTCTCTGTATCTATGTTATTGTGAAAGGTATCAAGAAGGTAACAACAGTTTCTTGTCGAACTTTTTACCTAGAATACAGTGGCTTTGTTTTTCCACGAAAAAAATATTTTTGAAGATATGAACTAAAGTTATGTTTTCTCAAATAGAACGCCCTGTATATTTATAAATTATATGATCCGGCTTGCTATGAGCTCAAAAATATATAACAGTCTATATTTATTTTCACTATTTAGTGCAATATTTAAAAGATATCATTTTCTTATTAGTAGACCGTGATATAGATAAGAAAAATTGGCACCGGGAGGCACGTATAGCCGCCCATACTAAAATATGTAAATAAAAAGTTGGTAGGCAGTTCTTTTAGTTTCAAAGTAAAGGAATTTTTCCAATTTTGGTCCGCGGTTATTTTCCCTATCCGCCACCTGGGATCGCGTCCGATGGGAGTTTGGAGTTCTCCACATGGATTTTCCCAAAAACGGACTACGGAAACACGGAATATCTCAAAAACTGCGACTTTGAGTGATTTTGATGTTATTACAAATTTTGTTGCAAATATTATACCTAATCTTAAATTGAAAACCGCGATTCGCTAGCTACTGTAATTTTGGAGTTACGATTTTTTTAAAATTTTAACCCCCTCCCATACCCCCTTATCAAACCCCCACTCCACAAAAAACTAATGGCAAGATTCTCGGGTGCCACAGTATTTTTGTGCCAAATTTGGTTAAAATCGGTTTAGCGGTTTTTGAGTTATCGTGTTACAGACGGACAGACCCCATGAAAATATTTTGTATTTAGGTCATTTATGACCCAAATAACATTTTATTTGGGACTGACATATTTTCCTTTTAAACTGTTACCACTGAAACTCTGAATATAATTTTCCATTTTTTTATAACGGGATTTATTATAACGGGATGGGATTGCAAATATCTTAAAGCTTGCCTGATATCATTTTCCAGACGTTTTTTTTATTACGTTGCGTTACAACTTTAGTTCATACCTTCAAAAATATTATTTTCGTATACAGGGTGCTACAAATTCGAGGTACGAGGATTGGTATCTCGGTAACCGTAATAGATACGAACATGGTTAAATTGGGGCAAAGTTGCGTATTAGGATGTTCACCAAGATGCCATTAAAAAAGTTTTAAAAATATCAAGGATTGCTGAGTTTTTTGGAAAAAACTTATTTTTTGAAAATAAATTTTATTTTTTCCTGTCTTTAATTTTTAGAAAATCAAAAAACTAATTACACATTCTCATAGCCACTTTATTACGGCTATTTGACAGTATTTTTAGATTTTCAACTCAGCTGATATATTGTGAGATTCAGAGGCCAACTTAATTTTTTTAAATACGGACCTGCATTTTTTATTTCAGGTTTTGAAAGAACTCGGTCTCTTGAATACAATGATATGCCACACTTTATACTTTTTTTTTTTGTTTTGGGTACCTTAACAGCAACAAAACTATTTGATTATTATTTAAAATAATTTCAAGTCCGACTCTGGTTTCTTAAATTATTTAATCTTATTATATTCATCGCAACAATATTGATTAACGCTAATTAACACTGAATAAGGAAAATCGATCCAATTGGAAGATTCAAATAAATAATATCCAGGTCAGAATTTTTAATTTTTTTTATTGTGAATTTGAAATCTCAATGTGCGATCTAATAGTATGTATAATATTAATATTAAACTAGTTTCTAATGTTCTACATGTTCGAAAGGGTTACCACCATCCCTATTGCACAGATTTATTTTTAGTACAATTTTATTTATAGCTCTTTAAACTTTCTTTTTATAATTCCGAATACATTTTGTACTCTTTATTGTAAATGTTGAGAAGAATTGATTAGACACTTTTACAAATGACGTCAAGTAATAGCGATAGGTTCAGGAACCTCGCTGGACATCATACTGCTCTACCATTTCCAATCCATCTTCCGGGAAAATGATTTTATTGTTTATATTATATTAAATTTATATTAATTATTTTATATTATTTTATTGCATTTGATTTTCCGTATTCAATGTTTTACCTCACGTCATTGTTAAGTTTGAAAGCTTATCTCAATATTGTAAGGATGAATAGATTAAATATTTAAAAAAAAACAGGGCCGGACTTTAAATTAAGAAATTAGTTTAAATAAATAGTGTTCAAATATCAACAATCAAAACAAAAAAGAAATATTAAGTGTGGCATATCATTGTAATCAGGAGACCGAGTTCTTTCAAAATCTGAAATAAAAAATGCAGATCCGTATTTAAAAAAATTAAGTTGGCCTCTGTATCTCACAAATTATCAGCTAATTTGAAAATTTAAAAATACTCTCAGATAGCTTTAATAAAGTGGCTATGAGAATATGCAATTAGATTTTTGATTTTCTAAAAAGTAACGACAGGAATAAATAAAACTGATTTTCCAAAAAACTCAGCAATCCTTATGCTTAATCCATGAAATTTTTAAAACTTTTTTGATGGCATCTTGGTGAGCATCCCAAAGCGCAACTTTGCCCCAATTTAACCATGTTCGTATCTATTACGGTTCTCCCCTAGGAGATGCAAGACCTTGTCGTTGGTGGGGAAGCTCCTGGTCAGGTGCTGGGGGGAATCCCCTCCAGCACTTGGCTTGGTCTAAGAAGCATCTCACTCATCGTCTTGTCCCTGACTGTAGTGTCGTGGCCAGGGAATTGCACCAAGGCATATAACGACACCGGGCGGGGCTACGGACAGCCTCAACCTTGGGGTACCCCATTGTATTTTACCCCTTACTTCTACATGCGGGGCTCTGTAGAAGTGGACCGACTGTCCCTAGCGACTCATAGGAACACTATGAGATCTGGTAATAATAGTAATAAAAACATCCCCCTAGCGACACTGAGAACAGTAACAATGAAAGTTCCAAGGGGCCAAACCCAAAGAGAACTACAAGAGAGGTGGCTGACACTTGCGTGAGACCATCCTCCGCAAATGGCATACAAGCTATCACCTCGTCCAATGGTCGGGAGCCTACCTCCTACCTCTAAACCCAACAGGCGACACAAGCTATCGTTTCAGACAGCCGGTAGACACCCGGCCTGGGTCGTAGCTCCTCGACTGTGAGGGACACGAGTCTCCGTAGGAAGTCCTAGGACTGTATGATGAGTTACAACTCAAGAAAGGGGGACACAATAGATCTCTAAGGTCGCAGAGATTAACCCCCCTCCCACTTATTCTAATTCTAATCTATTACGGTTACCGAGTTACCAATGCTCGTACCTTGAATTTATAGCACCGTGTATAGAATAACAGACTACGCCACTGTATTCTACGTAAAAAGTTCTACAATAAACAGTTTTCACCTTCTCGATATCTTTTCATAATAGCAAAAGATACCCAGGAGCACTACCATAAATTGCAAAATTTCCATACGCACGGGGGGCACTACCCATATTGCATGAAAATTTCCATAAAGACCCTTTAGCTCAGAAACGCAAAGGGCTATGAAAATTTTGTTTACAGCACCTTCCGTTTGACAAAAAAGTGGGACAAGTTTGCGCAAACCGCATCCTTCTATCTTCACTAATAACGGAGATATCCTATGATTCCAACCAAAATGGGACACACGTTTACCTAAAATTAATACATACCCCTAAAAATATATTTCGTGATGTGTCGAAACCGGCCGCATATATTCTGGCCACTTTTGGGTTGTTTCTTTCGCACAATATTCGACAGGCAAATCTGGATATGGTGCTTTGGTTCACTTTGACCTCTCCGTTCTTGTCTCCGGGTATTGTGTCCATTACTACAAAGTCTATTGGCGATTCCGACGATCGACCAATCTAAAATAAACAAGAAATTACATTAAAGCTAAGAACTTTTCAACAGTGTTTCCACTGCTACCAACAGACATACATACAATTTAAAAACGGGATATTTGAATAGATAATTTGAGCTGTTTTCATTTACCCCTAGTTTCCTTTTACCCCTGTTAACCCTAAACAAAAAATTAAATTTATATTTTGATATACAGGGTGGCGCACCTCATTCGCCTCGGTTGATTATACGAAAACGGAAAGATGTAGAAACAAAATATTTTATGAGTATAATTGGGGAGGCAATGTGCACAATTTCAAATTATTTTGAAATATACAGGGTGTTTCAGAACTAAGATCCATACCAAAGTTATATTTTTTATTATGGTACACCCGGTATTTTATTTCATTTTTGGATTCTTGGGCCCAAAAAAGGCATTTATTATAAGGTTTAAGTATGTTTAAAATCTTTGGTTTTTGAGATATTTAAAGATATATAAATACGCATGCCACAATTGAATATATTATTAACACCCTGTACATTACTTTTCAGAATTTATTCTTCTGCTGAGTTTAAAGGTGGGGAAATAAACTTTACTGAAAAATGTTATTGCTTCCTTAAATTTATACAGGGGTACCAAAAATTGTTGATCTATTTTAAGGCTATATTTTATATAAAAACTTCTTTATTTCGAATGTAACACCCTGTATTTTTTAAATAAATCGAAGCAGATTTAAGTGCTCTTTCAAACTATATTAGGGTTTCCTATACCTATCTAGCTCAGATTTTGAATAAAAAGCGATTTTTCAATAAAACCATGGCAATTTTCTAGTGACTAACTATTTACAAAATCGGCATTGGTTTGTGGACATTATTATTTAGATTTAGATTTATAACAGTTTACTTAAATTTACCTACAATAGTTTAATAAGTAAGTATTTATTATTTTATATATTTTAGCATCTTGGCCCCAAAGGCTTGTGCTCAAAGATATCGAAATAGGAATCTCCCTGATAAGCGTTCCTTTGAAAAACTACTTGTCCTATTTCGCAGAGCTCTTAGTGTGGTTTATAAAAAAGGCATCTTTAGGTCGATATATATCGAGAGAGATAGAAACCTATCGTTGGAAGTGAAGAAAATGAATTTGCCATAATTGTCTCTTTTATAGAAAATCCATATATCTACAAGTCGTAAAATAAATCAAAGAACTACTTCTACTATAGAATATGGAAAATACTAGTAACTGAAAATAAACTGGTATAAATTTAAATAAACTCCATAAACTAATTTCGATTTTGAAAATAGCTACTAACTGTCACTAAAAACTTGCCAAAACGATACTACTAGTCTTCTTGGTTGCCATATTATTGAAAAATTGCTCTTTATTCAAAATCTGAGCTAGATAGGTATAGGAAATCCTAATATAGTTTGAAAGAACTTTTGAATATGCTTCGATTTATTTAAAAAATACACAGGGTGTTGTATTTGAAATAATGAAGTTTTTATGTAAAATAAATATTTAAAATAGACCAGCAATTTTTGATACCCCTGTATATATAAAACGAAGCAATCAATTTTTTCAGTAAAGTTTATTTCTTTGGCTTAAAAAACAGCACAAGAATTAATTCTGAAAAGCAATGTACAGGGTGTTGACAATCATTTTTATTATAGCATGCATATTTAAATATCTCTAAATATCTCAAAAACCAAAACATATTGTAAACATATTTGACCCTTATAATAAATGCCTTATTCTGTGTCGACGGATTCAAATATGAAATAAAATACCGGGTGTTCCATAAGAAAAAATATAACTTTGGTGTAGATCTTAGTTCTGACATACCTTGTAGATTTCAAAATAATTTTAAATTATGCACATTGCCTTCCCACATATACCCATAAAAAATTTTGTTTCTACATCTTTCCGTTTTTGTATAAAAAAAAACAATTTTGAACAATGGTTTTTCTGACTGGTGATTAAAAACTAGTTGTTAGTAAAATCATAATTATTCTACTAAGAACCTTGTAGCATAAATAAATATAACAAACCGAACCTGAAACATATCAGTCTCCTCATCATTAGTGTACTCGACGATTACTGCGTGATTCCTACTGAGCGTGTACGATATTGAGTGTTGCATCGTGTCCAATATCGCTTGGGACGAATGAGGTGTTTTGACGACATAGTGCCTGGATTTCTTGACGCCCGTGGCAGCCGGTCGCTTGTACAAGACGAATTTGCTACGTCTTCTGCCGCGGTCTCCCTGTGGAAGGAATCCATTGTAACTGAAAAGAGGAAACAGTAGAGATTAATATTTTGTGAATATGTTTGAGTATTTAATGTAATATCTTCCCTGTAAAGTAGTAATCGTAAGTAACATGTGCTACTATGGCGATCAAACGATATTGTTTTATATTTTACATATAGAGGTAGAAAAAAATATACTCTGTTTTTTTTTTCTCAGGTAAGATTTCGACAGACGATGCGACATGGCAGAAAAAAGCAGTCCATTTGATTCGTACCAATCCATTTATTTATTTCACTAAAAAAAGTTTCTTATATTTTTTAACTATGGATGGGTTTACACATTGACTCTTAATTAAGTGCAAATAATTTCTCAGGCCTAAAAGAACCATTCGCGAAAAAAACCTCATAATCGTGTTTCTGGTCGGACGCACAATCTTAATTGAAATTTATAATTATCCAAACAAATTGAATAAAAATGTTAAATATATGAATTTTTCAACCCTCGTATACCACTCAATTTTTCATTATGTATAGCGTGTCTAAGAGTCATAGGTAATTATTAAAAAAAATAAATATTTAATTTAAAAAGCTTTTTAAATATTGTAATAAAAATAACTATCCAACTGGTAAAGTACAGTCATATTTTTTAAAGTAGGTGTCAAACTTAAAAATTGGACAATATATATTAATATTAATGGACTTCATATTTGGGATTATAGGTATAGCATAACTGTATGAAGTACAGTTATGCTATAACAGGTATTTGGAACTTTATTAGTCACCAGTTTATGAAGTAATTTTTTGTTAAAAAAATATAAATATACTAGCGTGTACCCGCGACTTCGTTCGCGTCGAATTAATCATTTGTAATGGTGATGATTGATGATAAAGCAAAGCAATAATTTCAAATTAACATATAAACTGGATAAAATTTTCTCACATTTATGTCAGCATGATAAAAAACAATATGGCGATATTATTATATCACTTGGTAATATTTGACTTTTGAAAAATCCATTTGCCAAAAATAAGCTTTTACGTCAAGCAGTTTAAGCAGAATCGCGATTAATCAATTACACAACTTTTTGGAACACCCTGTATGATTTTTTAAAAAAATTCAAAAGATGTAAAAAAAACAAATAAATTATGCTTGTCCAAGCGTTTTCCCGAAAGAATAACCGTTTTTTAAATAACAAATATTGTAACATTTGAGGGGCGTTTTCACCCTCTTGGAATTTGAGATTCGAGAAACCCCCCCTTATCGAACCTCTACACCCCACAGTCAATCTGTTTGCCAAAAATCAGCTTTAAACGTCGAGCAGTTTACGCAGATCGTGATTACTCAATGGTCATATTTTATGAAACACCCTGTATAAATATATAAAAAATCTTAAAATATGTAAAACAATAAAATAAAATATACGTGTTTAAGAGTTTTTCCGAAAAACTCACCGGTTTTTAAACAAAAAATATTTTAATATTTGAGGGATAGTTTCACCCCCTTAGAATTTCGAAAAATCCCTTCTTATCGAACCTCTACACCCTAAACTCAATCCGTTTTCCAAAAATCAGCTTTTTACGTCAAGCGCTTTAAGCAGGATCGTGATTAATCAATGATCAGATTTTTCGAAACACCCTGTATACATTTTTAAAAAATCTTAAAATATGTAAAAAAAAACAAAATAAAATATACGTGTTTAAGCGTTTTTTCGAAAACTTGACCGTTTTTTAAATAAAAAATATTGTAATATTTGAGGGGTGGTTTCACCCTCTTGGAACTGGAATTTCGAAAAATCCCTTCTTATCGAACCTCTACACCCTAGAATCAACCTGTATGCCAAAATTGAGCTTCTTACGTTGAGTGGTTTGAGCAGGATCGTGATTAATCAGTATGTCAGTCACTTAAGGATTTTATATATTAGTATAGATGGTATAGATTACAGTTTAGAGTGCGATCTTTATTTTAAGCATTACAAGGCAGATACCGCGGTATTTTATTATTAGAAAGCGCTTAAAACCATTCCGGGTCTAACGGTATAATACCTATAAATTATTGTTACTCAACTTTTCCAGAGTTTTTAAAAATGTCCTAGATGAAATTAACTTTTACATCCAAGTAAAGAATACACTCAAGAAAAATTTTAACGGGATTTTAAAAGTATCTTTTTTTTTAATTTCTGGAAAACTAAAAGTATCCAGATTTTCCTAAGTATAATAAATTTATTGAAGGGGTAAAATCGATCCCTATCAAATTAAATATTGGTAAAAAACAGATTCCCCCTGCTTTATTTCAATATTTCTCCAAAAAATCTGGAAGATACTCTATCCAAAAATTTAAGGACTCAATTTTAACCTCAAATTCGTGATCCCCGACCTCGAAAACCCCCAGATACCAAATTTCATTCGAATTTCGAGAACGTAATGCTTTTTGTCCCATTATCCCATATGATGGAAACACAGTGCGGCGCGGCGCGGCGGCTCGACATGACGATGACGATACAATATAGTGATTATACAACTCTATGTATATTTTTCCTATATAGAAGGATGTGATTAATAAGTACACAGGCAACAATTTGATGTTCTATAAAAATCGTCAGAACATTTCCAGAGCAAATTTTATAGAATAGTGTTTGTTCTAAGATCAATTTTAAAACGTTGTTAGAACACTTATACGATAGAAATGGGCCCCGTTTTGTAGAACTTTTTAGCCTTTTAATTGTTTTCTTACTTCTGCAGAAAACATTTATAGAATTGTTGTATAAACGCGCGCGTTCTAAGAGGTCTTACAGAACTTTTAAAACAATCCTATAAAATTTCTGTACCAGTTCGAAACTGCTGTCTTAGAGTACCTACTGGTATAGCAAATGAACTTTTAGTTTAATATTCTAAAGGTGTGCATAAATTTTTCATTATGCAATTATTTTGTTGCAAATATAGTACATTTAAAAACGTTTAAATCATTTTAGTATTTCTGTTTGGTATAACTATAACCAAAACTATAACGCTGCACTAACACTACTAACTGGTCGGAAATTAAAATGGACTCCCTAAAACAATTAAGTGTAATCTGAAAAGTCATTACACATTTTTATAAGTTGGTTTGTGGAGTGAAGAAAGACAATTTTAATGCGAAACAAGTTTTATGGTGAAATATGTGGGTCATAATAACATATTTTTGACGCGCTCTCAATTTATCTTACTATTTTCATAGTTCTGGAAATTTTATATGGTAAAAAAAACTAAAAATCAAAAATAAAAAGTAAAATTTTTATTCTAATATCTTTCTCAGTAAAAATAAAACGCTTTCCACCTTTATCGTTGATCCTTTATTAGAAATATGCTAGTAAACACAATTTTTCCCTTTTCTTCACAAAATGGCCGTCAGAAAAAGGCCTCGTTGGTACTTCCAACATGGATTTTTCATAATATGACATTTTTGTGTCAATTGCAATGGTTAAAGAGCAAATATACTTCATAAGTAGCTACTATACAATATAACATCTTAATAATTAATATCCGTCATGTTGTCATATTTCATGGTCACGGTAAGTTTTTCCTTAACAATAAGGATGACCTATTAAATTACCTAATTAAGTGCCCTAAATACCTATATTCTTATAGCTATGTTGATTTGAATGTTAAATGGTTAATTAATTCATATTTAAGTCTAAAACACATTATTACTACTTTACACAAAACGTTCTCTCGGACGTTGCCCAAAACCTGTACACTTAAAACAAAATGGTGTCAATAATAATTGAGATATTGTACCTAATTCTGTAGCGTTTTTATAAGGATCAAAAAAGATGGAAAAACACAAATTTGCTTTATAATTATTGTATAAGAACTACATTATTATTCTATAAAATAACCTTATAGAACTACTCCCATTAAGCTCGATACAAACTTCCATAGAGCTTCATATCTGCTATTTGGTGTTCGTAGCATAATCGTCACATACCACTCTTATTCAATAGTTCTATTAAGACGGCACAGGCGACATTATGGGATAATTGTATAAGAGTTGTACAGGGTATGGTTTTGTTCTTTTGAGCTCTAATTTGCATCGGCTCTACAATAATTTGATTCTATAAGCACGTTGCTGTAAAATTACTTCACAGAGCATCCTTATAGAGCAAATTTTACACTGGTCTTATAACTGTTCTATAATTAATTTATGCCCTAAGAACGTTCTTGCAATGAGTTTAAAGAACAATTCAGTTCTTGAAAACAAAATAGTCTCATATGCTCCATTAATACAGTAATTTAGTGTCCTAAATACAACTATAAAACTTTAATAGAATATAAATGTTCCATTAGCTTAAATTTATAGAATAACTTTGTTAGCTGGGTAATAATCATTTAAGTGATTATCGCTTGGTGCGTAACGCCTTTCGTGTCGTAAAAGTATTATTCGGTAATCCCGAAACATCTTGTGGTATTACATTCGAGAATCGCGCCTAAATCGTCTTCGTGTCCTCTCGTAGCTTCTATACTATTGGTACAACAGCAAATATTTTTTTATTATTATCTAAGAATATCGAATTAATATTGACCAAAGCTAACTTATCATGAAACGAAGCTAGGTGCATCCTTATATAGCTCAATAAATCGAAAATAAAAAATGTTCCGATACTGCAGTTTAGTCTGATTTATCAATAGTCCACTTTCTATACTAATTAGAGGCCTGGGACTTTGGCAATATTCCAACATTTAAACCCGATGTTCAGAATGCATGTACACACATGCACATATAGCGCCAATTACTGTTTGATTTTTAATGGGTCTTTGTTCAGATTCAGACCGAATATCATATACATAGTAGGCATTATACAGGGTGACCCAACATTCCTTGGACGTAGAACTACTACGTATTTTTAGCATCAAAATATATTAATTGGATACAATTTACTTCTATTCAATAGTGCTTCGTTTGTCCGCTAGAGGGCATCAAACTTTGTCATGTTTTGCTAAGAGTATTTGACTTTCACATAATCCAAGAAAAAGTACGGGAAGGGTAAAAATTACCCCCACC